ATTTCTCAAAAAATCAGCATGGACTTCTCTTATTCAAGAACTATATCTATGTCCCAAGGGATAAACGATTACAGCTACACCTCCTACAGCAGTTCCATGATGCTCCAGCTGCAGGGCACTTTGGCTTTGCAAAAACTTATGAACTTCTAACAAGAAAGTTCTACTGGCCTAGTCTAAGGACTACTCTTCAAGACTATATATCTTCTTGCACTACTTGCAACTTGAACAAACCTACACGGCAAAAGCCCTATGGCCTCTTGCAGCCTCTACCTATACCAGAACGCCCATGGGACTCCATATCCATTGACTTTATAGTCAAGTTGCCTCCTTCTATCCCAAAAGGGGGTGCTACCCCTTATGACTCTATCCTTGTGGTGGTAGAAAGGCTCACAAAAATGGCACACTTTGAGCCTTGCAATGAGACTATCACAGCTTCTGAACTTGCATGGCTATTCCTCAAGGTGGTCTTTAAATATCATGGAATTCCTGGACACTGGATCTCAGATAGGGGAGCAGTTTTCACTTCAAACTTTTTTAAGGAGTTCTCTAAACTCTTAAACATGGAACAACGCTTCTCTACAGCTTATCACCCTCAAACAGATGGCCAGACAGAGAGAGTCAACTCTGTACTTGAACAATATCTAAGAATTTATACAAACTATGCTCAAGACAACTGGGCAGATCTTCTCCATCTTGCAGAATTTGCTTACAACAACACAGTCTCTAACACCACAAAAGAGACACCTTTCTATGCAAACTATGGTTATCACCCTAGGTTTGAAGTGGCAGAACTGAATTGTCCTGAAATTTTCAAAAACCCTTCTGCTACTGAAAGAATCATCTACCTTAAGGGCCTCCAGGACTATCTCAAGGTTCAAATACAGCGTGCACAAGACGAGCAGGCTCAGGCCTTTAACAGGGGGGTGGTTGCACCACAATTCAAAGTTGGTGATCAAGTCTTTTTGTCTAGAAGACATATCACAACTACTAGACCTTCAGACAAACTTGATACTAAAAGACTTGGACCTTTTAAGATCACAAGGACTATTGGCAAGAATGCTTTCGAGCTTGCATTACCACCTACTTGGACTATCCATAATGTCTTCCATGCATCTCTCTTGTCTAAGGCACAAGAAAGTTCCTTAAGACCACTTCAGTCTCCTCCACCTCCTGTTCTGATCTTGGATCAACCAGAATATGAAGTAGAGTCTATCCTTGACAAAAAGACACTTAGAGGTCAGGACTACTTCCTCGTTAAGTGGAAAGGCTATCCTACAAGTGACAACACTTGGGAGCCTAAGAGAAATCTAAAAAATGCATCTAAGCTCATTCTAGAATTTCTTTCTAAGAAAGCCAACTGGCTAAAGGGCAAGCAGACAGCCAACAAACGTCCTTAAAAGGGGGATCATGTCATACTGACATTCGTTGCACTCAGTTTGCTATCAAACTCAAGAGCAAACTTAGAAATCTCCTCCTCAAACCTACAAGTCACCATACATATCTTGGCTTATCACACCAACAACAGAAACAATACTACTCAACGATTGCTGCAAACTCTTCTACTACATCTGTTTATGCTACATACATCACGGCATATCATTTGGACACTCATTGAACAAGTTATTAAGAAAATCTCCTCCTTAAGGGGGTGGGCCAATACTACCACATGGCATATCTCTACCAACTAGAGGCCTAGGAACATGAACGATAGCTCTAGAAGCTTCTACAACCCTCTATGATTCATTACACGTCATCGCTCCTTAGTTACCCACAAGATTGGTTAAGTTATGACATAATTTGTCTATAGGTACTCTGACCTTGGACCTCCTTTTCACTTCCTATAGGCTAGGAACCCAAGAGATGGTTCTATGGGATTCTCTTACGTTCACTACATGATTAGCAAGCTAGTTGTGGGTCGCACTTGATTTCTAATACATTTACCAAGCCTGGTTAGTCATGGAAAGTCATGGAAAATGAGAGAACTACACTCCTTTGGCATAAATAGGATTGCCCTTTCCTTAAGAAAGGGCAAGCAGGCAATACAGTAAATCGACTAGCACATACTTCTACGTCTTTTCCAAGCTTCCAAGCATTGATCTTGTTATTCTCTGTTTTTTGAAAAGTCAGTGAGGTGCTAACCTCTGACTTACCCCTGAGTTCTCAGACTCAACATTTGTTGCAACTTGTCTAAACCACTTCACCACATCATACACCTGATTGCTGCGTTGTGGAATAGTCTAAGCTACAACCCTTTGGCTCTGTTTCCTAAGACAGTGTGTTGTCTTAGTAAATTCATCCCTTCCTTGGGTGGCTAGATTCTCATATCTGGTGCACCCACCATTACAGTATCCCTCTCTACTTTACTACTATATAGACTAATAATTATTAAGGGATTGCTATGCGGAAGCCTATTATCTCAGAGACAAATCGACAAAAGCGACTTTCATGGGCTATTGAACATAAGGATTGGGTACGGAATGATTGGAATAGGATACTTTGGACTGACGAGACGTGGGTAACGGGAGGCCGCCATACTCGTACATGGGTTACTCGAAAAGCAGGGGAAATGTGGGATGATACATGTGTTGTAGATAGAGTACAACGGAGAAGGTAAGAGACTCCTATTTACTATAGGATTTACTAACAATCCCTAGAGGTTGGATGTTCTGGGGCTGCTTCTCAGGTGGTCTTGGAAAGGGTCCTATACTATTTTGGGAGAAGGAATATGGGAAAATAGGAGCTGAGTCCTATATGGCTCATACTGTCCCTCTAATCCACGGCTGGCTACGCCTATACCCAGGCCTTACATTGATGCAAGATGGAGCTCCAGGTCATAGAGCAGCTGCAACATATGAAGAGTTGAGATCCCGTGGTATTTGCCCTATAGAATGGCCCCCGTATTCACCAGATCTCAACCCAATTGAACGGGTGTGGCATATTATGAAGAATTATCTACAAGATAATCATCCAGAACATATGTCCTACGACCAGCTCCGTGTAGCTGTTAAGGAAGCATGGGAGCAAGTTGGAGAAGCTGAGCTTAATGCTCTCCTTAATAGTATGCCTACACGTATGGCAGCAGTAATTGCTGCAAATGGTATGCACACAGAGTACTAGGCTTATAGTATAGTTTTATATAGGGGTTTAGGTATCTACTCTACTCATTATTCTACAGAATTGATTGCTCTCACACTCAAGTGTTCGTGACGCGTGAGAATCGGTACTTTGGCCAGAATTGCCAAACCAGCCTACGCAGGGGGCCCTAGCCCGACCCACTCACAAAACTTATGAACAACACCTCCGTACAGATCGATCTAAACCCTCCTGAACTGTTAAAACACCTCCCGTGGCAATATAAGACCGTCGTACGGCTCTCTTTTTCTTTTGATGCTTATTCACAGCCTGTAGCTTCTTATTTTCGTCCGCAAGGAGGACCGCGGAATGCATTGCTATTTGACAACCCTTGACTAATTGTTGAATTGCACGGTCTGTAGGACTAGAAGAACCAGCTGTACGGCGCCGTACGAAGTCTCCAATGCCTTGGCTTGAGATTCTAGCTCCTGTATATTATGTGGCGTTTCAGGGACCCAGGATGCTTGTTCGTCTACAGACAGAATCGGAGGAGTAGTAGGGTCCGTAATTGAGTATTAAGCTTCGAGAGAACACGTTCTGGATCGTATGTGAGGTTAAAGCTTCCGTACGGGCCGTAAAATGAGCTGGAAGGAAATCAGACTTATCAATATGATTAACTCCGGCCCGCATAAGATCTTCAATTTGTCGCCCGTATGACTGTTTTAGGACCGCAAAACAGCTTACATCAGAAGGTTGAAGTAAATGCGAGGAATGCGGAGGCATACAGAGAGTAATAATATCTTGCAAAACAAGTCAAATTCGGCTGTAATATGACTTCCATGTCCGTCAAGAATAAGAAGTCGATATACTCCTTCCCTACGATCCTTTGTATGTTTTTCGAAGACATCTGTAAGCCAGATAAGGCCTAATTGGTCCGTAGTCGAGCCGTTATCACTAACCGCAATTTCCCAATTAGACGGTAAAGCGTCTGTATACCAGGTAGAGATATGAAGTTTGCCTTTAAGTATAATCATCGGAGGAAGTGGCCAACCGTCCGCATTAATACACTCAATAGCCGTAGTCCATTCGCGGTTCCCAGGTTGGACTGTTACGGGCCCTGACGTACGATCAGAGGCCGTAATGACTTTTGCGGTCGAAATCACACCCATTTGAAAGCCCGTCTCATCAAAGTTATAGATATCCATGTCCCGGATTCCATATTTTGCAACCGTATTTCGTACGAGTCGGAACCAGTCTCGAATAACATCGTATTTGCGTCTGTAAAGTGGTGGTTTTGGTGGGGTGTGGAGTGGACCGCCTACTTGTATGGACCGCTTACTTATCAAGTACGTTAGTCATGATTATTATGATTATTTGTGCTAACCCTGGATGGATGGATGGTTTAGCTGAGGGGCTACTTCGGGTCTACTTCAGATCACTTTCTAACTCGATATTTCTATAACTCGATATATTTATGCATGACCAATTACATCGACTTAACGAGATAATACTGTATTATTAATACTAATTTAGTATACAGATTATGTCAGAAGCGTCTTCATACCATTATGGGCTTGGCGGTAAAATATCATACTACGAAGCCCTTTCCTAGCCACATTACGCAGGCATTGACAGTGTGGAGTCGGTCCAAAACTCTTTTATACGATTAATCCTCTCTAATTAGAGCAATGGTCCCGAAAAAAGGGCCGCCTCCCCCAAGGTAATTAATCCAATGCCACGCACTGAGGCTTGGGATGTGCTGGGGCCAATTGACGAGTCCCCAATTAGAAACCCCAGAACCCCCAGAACCCCCAGAACCCCCAGAACCCCCAACCACCCACCACACCGACCGCAGATCAGATGACCGGATATTCCATTCCCCCGCGATTCGAGCCTGCCTTCCTTACCTTTTACCAAAAAGTAGATAATATAACCACAACCAAGATTCATCCCCATCCCCATCCCCATCCTCCCTTCACGCCATGCAGGTTGTGAGATGATGAACAGCCACTCTACCAGATATTTAGAGACCAGACCGCGAAGAAACTCCTCGGGATCTAGCTCAATTAGTCACATCATCACTACTCCCACCTCCAGCACTCCCTCGCTATCCCCTACCTCCGATATGCCTTCCAACCTCGAGGACTTGGGAGAGGGTGTTCGACATGTACACATCAATGCCGATGGAGGGAAGCCCAAGACTCGCACGGCACATGGCCGCAAGGCTTCGTCTCCCATGATGCCTGCTTTCATTGTTTCTGCACCTGGAAAAGTTATTGTGTTTGGAGAACATGCCGTGGTACATGGAAAGGTTCGTCTCAACTTATTCCTGCAAACACACATCTTTCTAACACTCCGTACCAGGCCGCTATAGCTGCTGCGATCTCTCTACGTTCATACCTTCTCGTGACATCCCTTTCGAAATCGAGGCGAACAATCTCTTTGCGATTCCCAGACATCAATTTATCACATACCTGGGACATCGATGATCTCCCATGGAGCACATTTTCGCACCCTTCCAAAAAGAAGCATTACTACGATCTGGTGACAGAGCTCGACCCAGAGCTTGTCGCTGCCATGAAACCACATCTTGCCAACGTCTCGCCAGGGGCACCAGATGAAGTTCGCAAGGTGCACCAAAATTCGGCGTCAGCATTCTTATATATTTTCCTGTCGCTGGGATCGCAGTCATTCAACGGCTGTCTATATACACTCCGTTCGACTCTACCAATAGGAGCAGGGCTGGGAAGCAGCGCCTCGATATCTGTTTGCCTGTCGTCTGCTCTGCTTCTGCAGATACGCACACTCTCTGGCCCTCACCCGGACCAACCTGCGGCGGAAGCCCTCCTCCAATTGGAAAGAATAAACAGATGGGCGTTCGTGTGCGAGATGTGCATTCACGGCAACCCTTCAGGCGTCGACAACACCGTTGCGACGCAAGGAAAGGCCGTCGTCTTCCAGCGCTCCGACTACAGCAAACCACCAGTCGTCACTCCGCTCTGGAACTTCCCAGAGCTACCCCTCCTCTTAGTCGATACCAAGCAGCCCAAATCCACCAAGGCCGAGGTCGCCAAGGTGGGCGATCTTAAGAAGGTGCATCCCGAAGTGACCGGGGCAATCCTATACGCGATCGATCAAGTCACCATCAGCGCGGCGAATCTGATTACAAGTGGGCAGTACGATGATGATGAAGAGGTTGGGCAGGCGCATCTGGGCAAGATGATGACTATCAATCATGGTCTGCTCGTTGCCTTGGGCGTTTCGCACCCGAGACTCGAGAGAGTACGAGAGCTGGTCGACCATGCGGGCATTGGATGGACAAAGCTCACTGGTGCCGGCGGTGGGGGGTGCGCCATCACGCTTCTGAAGCCAGATATATCAAAAGAGAGGCTTCGTCAGCTAGAGCAAGACCTCGACGATGAAGGATACGGGAAGTTCGAGACAACCCTCGGCGGCGATGGAGTTGGCGTTCTCTGGCCCGCGGTCCTGAAAAACGGGACCGACGAGGATGATGAGGGGGGTGTGGAGATCGACCAGGAGAAGTTCCTGAATGCGGTGGGTAATGATGGCGTTGAGAGGCTGGTGGGTGTGCATGGCAAGGATGGGGAGAGGGAGAGCTGGAAGTTTTGGAGGGTGGATGCGAATTAGGGGAAATAATTAAACTTAATGGGAAAAAATGGGGGGGAGGGGAATAGGCATCTCGGGGGGTGTTGCATCAACAGTCTTACAGATGTGTAAATAATGATTATAATGCAGCGCGAGCTCATAGCAAAACAATAATTACAATTTTTTTTTTTTTTTTCGCCTCGAGATGTTGGATGCAAAAAACCGGATTAAAGGCACAGCTCTGAATGAAGTGTTCTTTGCAATTTCTTTGCAGAGATCTGATATTTTGTCTACTGGGAATAAACGTTGTGGATAGAGATGTCTAGGATAATATGTGGCAATGCATCGACCATGCTGCGACATATCTGGACGGTAGTTCCATTCCTACGCTCCGATCCGGAATCCCCTATTATGCCACGAAGATACAGGACATCTAGTCGCGATCTCCCCCTCCCCTCCTCATCGCGTGCACAACCCATCACTCAACAACCTCTCCCTCCTCCTCCACATCCTCCTCCCCTCTCCTTCTCTTATCCGTAACCTTCCCCTTCTCCCCAACCTTCACAAACTGATCCTCCAAAAACGCCTCACTAATCCGCTCCGGCGGGACTAATTTTTCATCTACCAGCGTCCAGCCAACCCGCTTCATCTTCTCCCATTCGCGGCCGACGGACCAGCGGACGAGGTCCCCGGCGGCGTTGGCGTCTTCTTTGCTGTCGTGACCTGGGGCTACGGCGCCTTCTTCCGCAGGTGTGGAGGTAGAGCCAGCAGCTGCTGTAGCTGGAGCAGCTACGATCCCCCCACCAGCCTGTATAGTCCTCCCCAAATGCAGGGAGACGAGCGTACGCAATGCATGCCGGTATGGTAGCCCCGCTTGGTGTGGAAATAGCAGTGCCGTATCTATGACTGTTGGGTGAATGAGCCGGACAGCATTCAAATCATTCTCCAGCCCGTGTCCAATAACCGGCGTCCTCGGCGTCAAAAACAGGAGTAGCAGCTCCCTCGCAGCCTCAGGGGACTCGACGACGTGGAGTCTTTTCGTACCTTTGAGTTTTTCGGCATCGCTGGGGGAGGGAAGATCCAGTGGGGAGGGGAGGGAGGGGGCGTTAGTGAGTTGCGAGGCGGAGACGCCGGACCAGCGCGTGTTGAGGTCTAGGACCTCGCCGAGGGGACGCACGAGGATGTCGAGGAGGGGGGTGCCGGTGGGCCAGGATGTGGCGGTTAGGCGGATGAGTTCGAGGCCGTGGACTGTGTGTCCCATTTCGCCATCGATGCAAACCGGTTCATCGTCATCCGCGAGGTCGTTCTCGGGTGTGGTGATGAAATTAAACAGCGCAGCGAGGCGCTTAACTTCAGTGACCTTAAAGACGTGTGTCGCTGCTTTGGTGCAACCGGCTGAATCCCCAATAGCCTGCCCACAACACCGATACCTCTTCTCGCGCTTCGACCCCTTAACATCCGTCGCCGCGCGCGAGGGAAAGAAAGGTTTTCCCCAGTGATACGTACACGCACCCCCCGAGGTGAGGAGACCGTCTGACTCTCGCCGGCCCGCGAAGACTTGGAAACGGGACTTACATCTATCGCAGACTTCCCAGCCTTGAGCGGCGGCAAGCCCGGATTGGGCCGTGGCGATGGAGTCTGCGGAGGGGATGGAGTTGACGTAGCCGTGTGCGGAGAGGGAGGTGAGGGGGGTGAGGAGTTTGAGGAGGAGGGAGAGCTCGAGGTGGGGGGGGAGGCCGGTTGCTAGGGGTTTTGGGGCTAGGGCCGTGAGAGGGGGTTTAGTAGATGGGGTTAGGGCGGATGCGGCGGCTTGGGCGTCGATGGAGGTTTGGCGCGCGGATTTCCAGTCGGCGAGGGGCATTTTTTTGTACCGGACTATGGTGTTCTTGACGATGCTGGAGTGGATGGCTGGTTTGTCTTTGGCGGCTTGTTCTTCGATGTCGAGGGCCATGGTGATGAGTTCCTGGGTGGTGAGGATGAGGGGTTTCTCCGAGGGGGATTCTTTGGCAAGCTCGGTGTTGAGCCGGACGAGTTGGTCATGGAGCAGCTTGACGAGTTTGGTCCGGAGATCGTGGGTTGCTGGGGAGTGTTTCAGGAGGCGCGGGTTTAGGGCCTCTGATTTCGTTGGTTTCGGGACCGATGGAGCAGCTTTCAAAGCTGGTTTTGTAGTGACTGGGACCTTTGGTTCCGTCTTGGACATTTCTTCTGGTTTCTTTCCAGGAGCGAGACTACTGGTACGGCGAGGAGGTGGTGGAGATATTGGGCGCTTTTCTGAAGATTTAGAGCTCGACTCCTTCACTGCCAGCTTGACTTCTGTCTTTGCAGTAGAGCTCTTGGTTTCCACGACATCTCCGTGGCCTATCTTCCTTCGTTTTCGCTGTCCATCTTCAGCAGCCACTGCGATGGCCTGCTTCTCTGATGGTAGCTTTGGGGATGGCACAGCTGGCATATTTTCCGCTGGCTTCATAGCTGGTGGTTTGTGATGTGCGAAGAGGCATTTTGGCAACAAGCAGCGATCGCTGTAGGGGCAGTCTATCTTGGAGAAGAGGCCCTTTGAGGTGAACATGGTCGCCGATGGGAAAGGCGAGACTTGGCGTGTAAGAAGCAGAACAAAGGCATAGGTTGACTCTTTATATATATGCCTTTAACGGGTATGATCTGGCTTGTAGGCTCAGGCTATCTGAGAACTGTTGTGCTGGGTCAGAAATCTGTGTAATTCATGTCGCTTCACGTGACTTGGGGTGAAGGGTAGGATGGGGAATAGGAAAGCGGGTGCTGAGCCGGTGAGAAGGAGTAAGAAAGGCTTCCCTCTCGGCTTTCTTATTCATCTTGACAGACTTACTGAGGTTTTATATACGGGGTCTCTCCATGTGCAGATTATGGATCCCTTTGGGCCTCAGGTGTTGAGAGGATGTAGCTGATATTGTTACAGTGAGCTAAGCCATCAAAGGTCCATCTTCACTCAATAGTCACACTACAATGCCTGGAGACTGTTGAGCCTGATTGAAGCTCCTCTCCATCTCAGGCTGGCGTAGTTGTCGGTGGCAAGTCGTCGTCGCTGGCGTTTAGCGAGCGTCGTTGATTTACAGTACATATCAAGGTACTCCCTCGTACAAATCTGATCTCACCGACGCAGTCCAACTACAACCGGGTTGTTATAACATTGATTTCATTATTATATCTGATTTACTTTTATATATAGACGCATATTGTTATATCAGAATTTAAACAACCCTCCTTGATCTTAACCCCAGTCATCCGTCGGAGTTAAGGTGGTTGCATCAGTAGCGTCGTCATTTTCGCATCCGCTTTAAATGTCCACCTGCAATATTCATTCGTTATCCAAAGTCCACCTGCAATATTCACTCGTTATCCAAAGTTGATATAATTTTTGTCAATAAACCAAGGAAATATCTCATAGAACAAACCGCAAGCACCAACTTTTCCGCCGGCCCTGGCTGCCAACCCAGCCATGGCAGACCATCTCTGTGTCCTCGTTCATGGGTACGCTTCTTCTACAAGCTGTGTAAAGGCAATTCTAACTCATAACCGCTGCAACAGCCTCTGGGGCAATCCCAACCATCTCAAAAACGTCGCCAAGGTGCTCCGTGAGAAATACAGCGAGGACGAGCTCCACATACTGGTCTCCAAGCGGAATAGCGGAAGCTTCACCTACGATGGCATTGAGCTTGGAGGGCAGCGTGTGTGTCAAGAGATTGAAGAGGAGCTGAAGCGGCTTTCGGAAAGCGGCCAGAGAGTCAAGAAGTTAAGCATGGTCGGATACTCCTTGGGCGGCCTCGTAGCGCGGTATACCGTTGGACTCTTGGAATCCCGAGGCCTCTTCGACGACATTGAAGCAATTGTAATTCCCAGAATCTTACAAATTTAGGACGTCGAGCATGCTAACTAAGCTGTCAGAACTTTACCACCATAGCAACACCCCACCTCGGGGTAAGATCTCCCAACCGGGCTGTGATAAGTCAGATCTTTAATGTGCTCGGGCCACAAATGCTGTCCATGTCCGGGACGCAACTATTCATGGTCGACAACTTCCGCGAGACTGGCCGGCCCATACTGGAGGTTATGGCGGATCCAAATTCCATCTTCATTACGGGACTGCGGAGGTTCAAAAGGCATTCCTTGTATGCAAATATTACCAACGATAGAACCGCACCGTTCTACACCACTGGAATCTCCAAAATCGATCCTTTCGTGGACCTGAGGGCCGTTGATGTGGGGTACCTTGATGGATACGAGGAGGTGATTCTGGATCCAACGCGGCCGTTTTCGCCCAAGGAAAACAAAATCCTAACATTTTATTCCAAACTCAAGCATGACGCATCCTTTTTCTTCGGCAACCTCCATATTTTCGCCCTCCTGACAATAGTCATCCCAATCGGCACGCTCGCGTTTCTCACCTACGCTGGCATCCAGACGGTACTGAGTAACAGCAGGATACGGCTGCATGAATCCGGCAAAGCTGGGATCGACCCTAGTAGCTACCGGACACCCTTCCTGCTGGACATCCGCGAGGCAGTCGAAGATGCATATGGGAACCTCAATAATGCTCAAACCCAACAGTACCTCTCCGCCACCCCTAGCACTGCTGGATCGTCAGAGGATGAGTCCGAGGCCAGCGGACGACCGTTAATGGGGAATGAAGCCGCAGAGAAGCCGTCTCGTTCGACCACAAAGGTTTCAACAGCAGGCAACCCGAGTACTGACGCATCGCCCAAAGAGATGCCGACTCTGGCCCTTGCCCCCGAGCAGTTTACTATCATCCGGAATCTGGATAGTGTGGGCTGGCGGAAGTATTTTGTGCATATTCACAAGCAGCGACATAGCCATGCTGCGATTATTGTACGAAGGGATAAGGAAGGCTTTAGTGAGGGATTTGTGGTGCTGCGGCATTGGCTGGATGAATTTCTTATGGAGTAGATATTGTAAAGGTTAGGTTTTATGCTGGCGCCGAATCGTGGCCGGTTATGCCGATTTCAGCGACTTGATTTGGAATTTGCATTTGATATTGCAACCTTGGAATTTGGATCTTGATAGCAGGCGTTGTAGATAAAGGACGGTCTCATATGTTTGGACGGGTGAGGGTGTTCTATTGCTACTCCTCCCAGGGGCGTTTAAACGAACTCACCAGGAGACGATCGAAACTGCGGGGGAGGCTGAGCAGATCTCACTGTATGTATCAATTCCCCGAACCCCGTATGCTATCTCTATCGGTGAAGTGGAGACATGGTGGACAGCCCCTGAATAGCTTAACTTATGCAGGCTGTATTATGCAAGTCAACGAGACACAGTCCTCAACACTGCCAAAAGCGAGGGGGATCTGCTTGCTTGGCGCCACAGAATGTTGGAGTGCAATTGCGGTAGGTCGAACTGATGATGAGATCTGTCGAGTACAACTTATATATAGTAGTCTGTACAGTACAGTCAACATTCACCATACCAATACCACGTGATATCACTCAAACGCGCGGCGGTGGTAGAGGCGTAAAAAGCTGGTCGAGCACATGTCATTGATGCTGACGATAAATTGTTGGTTGTTGCACTTGATTTGATTGGCAGGTTCATGTGAAACCCCCTAGCTCTCTCTCGACCTTTTTTGGCTCCTTAGTTTGGCCCATGGTCTAAGGCCGCCCTTGGCATCACGCTAAACCCTCTTGAGCTCCAAGCCCTGACCGCTAATGACCCCCAACTGTATATTCCCCTCCTATCCCTATCCCTCTCATTCGCTAGTTACCCTGTCAAGCTGTCCACGATCCCATATATTTCCCGTCACCTTTCCTCCCCCTCTGTGGAACAACTTGGGATTCACAAGGCATCATGGCGTCCGAAACCAAAAGCGCCAATGGCTCCGAGAGCGACTTTGAGTTTATAGAAACTCCAAAGGTTCATACACCAACCTTTGAGAAGTTCGAGGAATGCGGTGTCAAAACCACGGCTGTAAGTCTACCACACCAGGAGCTCTCCTGAAGCTTGGTTTGCAGAGCGTATTTGTTGAGCCATACTAACTGCAAAATTGTAGTATCCTGCGATCAAGAATGCCCCTCTCCCTGCTGACGGGCCTGGATCTGGAAGCTTTTCCAACATCGCCCTGTTCTCACTGCTGTTCATTGTGCCCGCATACACGGCCTGGAAAGTCGGTGGCGGTCTGAAGACGACGATTTTTTTCGGCCTTTTCACCTCGATCCCGCTCCTGATTTCCTTCTGGTACCTCAACTCGACCCTCGGCCCTCGCAAAAATGAGAAAGTGAGACTGCCGGGTCGCCCGATCGAGCACTACCTCACCTTCAAGAACGATGCCGATAAGCTCAAGTACCGTGGGAGGACAAAGATCCCCATTGAGACTTTCCACAACATGTACTTTGAGGGCGATGTCGAGTTCAACGGTGACTGCCTCGAGGTCCTCGAGTACCGTGCCGACTGGGCCAGCTTCACTTTCACCATCAGCCTGTTCAAGTTCATCTTCTTCCAGTTCGCACCGGAGGTCATTATGCACACTCGCTCGCAGGGTTCGTTTATGCGCTCCTACTTCTGTAATACTATATACTAATATTTTTCAGATGAGGAGCAAGTCAGAGATCACTATGACAGAGGCGATGATTTCTACGGATGGTTCCTTGGCCCACGTATGATTTACACCTCTGGCATTATTTCCGACATCACCAAGGAGGAGACCCTTGAGGAGCTCCAAGATAACAAGCTTGCCATCGTTTGCGAGAAGATTGACCTTCAAAAGGACGAGCGCATGCTTGATATTGGATGCGGCTGGGGAACTCTGGCCAAGTTTGCCAGTGTCAACTTTGGCGCTCAAGTAACTGGTATCACTCTTGGCCGTAACCAAACTGCTTGGGGAAACAACGGTCTTCGCAAGGCTGGTATCACCGAAGAGCAAAGCAGAATCCTCTGCATGGACTACCGCGATATCCCTGTTCCAGAGGGCAAGTACCACAAGATCACCTGTCTCGAGATGGCTGAGCACGTCGGTGTTCGCCACTTCAAGTCTTTCTTGAGACAAGTTAATGACATGCTTGATGACGATGGAGTTTTCTTCTTGCAAATTGCCGGACTTCGCAAGTCGTGGCAGTACGAGGATCTTATGTGGGGTCTCTTCATGAACAGATACGTCTTCCCAGGCGCTGATGCTTCTACCCCGCTTGGATTCTTCGTCGATAACCTCGAGGGCGCCGGCTTTGAAGTCAAGTCTGTCGACACCGTTGGTGTCCACTACTCCGCGACCCTGTGGAGATGGTACAGGAACTGGCTCGGAAACCGTTCCAAGGTTGAGGCCAAGTACGGCAGCAGATGGTTCAAGGTAAGTCATATTGCACTGTGTACAGAATAACAACTAATAAACCATTTAGATCTGGGAGTTCTTCCTTGCTTACTCCACCATCATCTCCCGTGATGGAGGTGCTACCTGCTACCAACTCACCCTGGTCAAGAACATCAACTCGACCCACCGTGTGGAGGGCATTTCGACCCAGTTTGCTCTCACTGCGGCTCTTGCCAAGGGCCGCGCAGACATTAAGGCCAATGCTGCTGCCAATGGTGTCAAGGCCTAAGTATGAAATGCCATCTAAATATTTTTATTGGCATGTATGATACGTATGATGCGACGACCACAAATAGCCCAAAAGTATGGGCGCAGTATTTGGACTATACTGTTTATGCCATCTAGATATAGCTAAAAGATGTCCAGCGATTTAGCATGAAGAGAAACATGGGTTTCATGATGGCAATCAAATAGAAGGAGGTATTGGGACACTTAAAAGGCGATGATCATTTAGCTACGTAAATGCGAGTCGGTGCCATGGACTGGTGGAAATGGAAAGTTATGAATTGGTTTAAAAATGATAATGTAAAACGACTCCAAATATATTTACCCCATTACATTGCGACCAACCTGTCCTGATAACAATTGATGCCCAAGAGTGCATAAACCGACTCCTCCAGGGCGGGGCAGTGGCTGGGTTGGCTAATTTGCGGCGGCGGAACTTGCCTCCGTCTTAGGAACCCAACTGGGTAACTATTGTCGTCAGCGACGTAGGCCGCCGCATCAAAACTTGTAGTTGGGACTCACATCTCAACCTTTTGTATCAGCTTTCGTTTTGTATCCCATTTTAGCATTTTTTCCTTCATATCGCAATGTTTTCGGGCTCCAACTCGTACCTGGGCGGAAATGCCGGCCGCCCTACTGGCCCGCCGCAGCAGCAGCAGTTCAACTCCTATAACCAGAATCAACAACCAAATAGCTTTCCTCAGCAACAGAATGCCCAAACGGGGGGGGTTTCGATGAACCCGCAGCCTACGGGCTTTCAACCTCAGCCGGCCGGTTTCCAGCAGCCTGCGCCGTTGCAATCCCATTACACTGGCTTCCCAGGCAGCCAGCCTCAATATGGCCAGCAAGACTTTGGAGCTCCGCCGATGCCAATGCAGCAACCTCAGCAGCAACAGCAGCAGCAACAGCAGCAGCCACAAGCACCAGTCCAGCCCCAGCCGACTGGGTTTAGCCAGATGGCAGCTTCCTTCCAAACGGGAGATTCGAAACCGAAGGGCAGAAGACAACCACAACCCAAGTCGACAAAGATACCGAGCATACGACTGTCATTCATTACCGCTAAAGACCAGGCGCAATTTGAAACTCTCTTCAAGTCTGCTGCGGGGGATGATCAGGCCCTCTCAGGAGATAAGTCTAGGGATATATTATTACGATCAAACTTAGACGGAGACTCTCTGTCCCAAATATGGTACGGATAGGTCTTGCTGTCAGATTGGCACCGGTTAACATCAACAGGACTCTTGCAGATACGACAAGATCAGGACACTTATTGTTCCCCGAATTCGCATTGGCCATGTATCTATGTAATTTAAAACTCATCGGCAAGCAGTTACCGCCGACGCTCCCAGAGCATATTAGAAATGAAGTTTCAAGCATGGTCGATCTCATAAACTTCGGCGTCGCGGACGATGCGCCTCAGCCAAGAACAAACGTTCCCGACTTTAATACTCGCACTTCAACTGCGTCCCCCCCTACGATCCAGCAGCCGCAACCAATGGCATCGAACTCCCAGCTACTTACAGCACAAATGACCGGATTTCAGCAGCCGCAACAAACTGGCTTCCAAGGAGGGTTCCAGCCGCAGCCAATTGGGTTTGGTGGTCAGCTGCAAAATAACTTTCAAAATGCGACCAACCCGCAGGCTACTGGCTACACTGGACCACGGCCACCAATGCCTCCTATGCCAACTGGGTATGGACCGGGCGGCGGTTTAATGCCTCCTGGTGGTGGGATGGGAGGCATGGTAGCGCCCCTCAACGCTCAGCCCACAGGAGTTCCCGGCCAGTGGGGATTGGTAAACGCCCCGGCTACGGGACTTCCCAACATCGATGCGCTACAAGCTCGCATGATGCCTCAGCAAGGCCGCGAGCAAGGCAACTTCACTACCGCTGGCTTGTCTGGAAATGCTGTTATTCCATGGGCTGTGACCAAGGATGAGAAGACGAGATATGACTCTCTTTTCAAGGCCTGGGACGGTTTGGGCAAGGGCTTCATTGGTGGCGATGTAGCTATTGAAGTCTTTGGACAGAGTGGCCTCCCTAAGCCTGATCTCGAAAGAGTTTGGACGCTGGCAGATAACGGCAACAAGGGTCGCTTGAACATGGATGAATTTGCAGTTGCTATGCATTTAATCTACAGAAAGCTCAATGGGTACCCACTTCCAGCTCAGCTACCAGCCGAGCTTGTACCACCTTCGACCAGAAACTTCAACGATTCTATTGGCACTGTGAAGTCTCTACTTCAGCAGGAGTCTGCGTATAGAAAGGATTCTGGCGCCAACCTGCTTCCCCAGAAGACTGGCGTCAGCTACTTGAAGAACCACTCGTTCCGCGGCGACTCGAACCAACTTAGGAACAATCGTAAAGATGCGACCGTGTTCAAGAACAACGATGACGATGTTGGATATAAATCAAGCGCTCGTAGACGCTTAGGCACTGGATCACCACGCCCTGAATCACCGTCTTCGACTACAAGCGAAGACCTTACCTTGGATCAGCTGAAGAAGAAAATCCGCGAGAAGCAAGTGGTTCTTGACGCCCTCGACTTCAAGGATGAGAATGCCGCCGAGGAGGATGACGTTCTTGACAGACGTGATCGCCGAGAAGCGGATGAACTTTACAGGCGCATCCGCCGTGTTCAAGAGGACATTGACAGCCATCCAGATGCAGCACTCCGAAATGTGGACTCAGGGGCTGAACGCCGCGCCCTGAAGCGTCAATTACAGACCTTGACAGATAGTCTGCCTGATATTGCAAGCCAAGTCCGCCGCACAGAGCGCACCATCGCCGAAGCGAAGCTGGAGCTCTTCCGCCTTAAGGATGCCAAGGCACACCCAAGCAGTGCATCAAGCATCGTTGGAACTGGGCCAGGTGGCATCGTGACCGAATCAGATAGACTCAAGGCACGAGCTAAGGCCATGATGCAACAGCGTTCTGCGGCCCTTACCGGAAAGAAGATCGAGACTGTTGACGATGACCTCGCAGCTCCCAAACGCCTGGAAGAAGAGAACATTAGAATCAAGACAGAACGTGAGAACAACGAGAGAATGGTCAAGGATGTCGAGGATAGCGTTCGTGAGTTTGCGCAAGGTCTTGAGGATGGCTTGAAAGAAGGATCTCAAAGTTCGTCGAGCGAGCATGAGAAGCGCAGATGGGAGGATGGACTTGGTGTTGAGGACGAAGTCAAGGATTTCATCTTTGATTTGCAGAGGTCGACTAGAAGTTCCAGGGTCCGCAATGAAGATCGTTCTACCAGCAGGGGCTCAGTGGAAGATAGACGCGATCGCGACACGTCTGCATCCCGTTTCCGGGCCAGTGCATCTCCAGTGCCGACAAATTCCCGCCAGAGCACCTCCCCCGCACCTAGTGGTGGTGGTGGCTCGTACGCCTCTTACAAGACCCCTGAAGAAAGAGCTGCCTTCATTAAGCAGCAGGCTGAGCAGCGCATGGCTGAGCGCCTGGCTGCCCTGGGAATCAAGGCTCCTTCCAAGTCTGGCGAGAGCGCTCAACAGAGGATGGAGCGCGAGAAGAACGAACGGGCAGCCAAACTTCGCCAAGCAGAAGAGGAAGATGCGAAGCGCGAGAATGAAAGACAGTCGAGAATTGCTCAGGAGGAGGGTCGTCCTGCACCAGCAGCTGCCTCTCCAGAGGTTGCTAAGAAGCCACCCCCACCTCCAACGAGGAAGGCTGCTAAGGGTGATGTGGAAACTCCAAGAAAGGTTGAGGAGGATAGAGTTCATCAAGAACATGAGGCTCAGCAGATAGCAACTAAGGAAATGGAGTAAGTCTCATCGACGCTAATAATGGAAACATACTGACTTGATAGGGATGATGCACTGCGCCAGGAACGCGAGATTGCCCAGGAGCGTGAGGCCACCGAGGCCCGCTTGAAAGCCCTCGAGGAGCAAGTCAAGGCTGGGAAGATCAAGAAGGAAGAGGAGAGGCGCAGAAGGAAGGCTGCGCAAGTTGAGGCGAAGGAGAAGGAAGCAAAGCTTGCCGCCCAGCGTGCTGAGATTGAATCTGCTCGCCAACGAGAGATTGAGCTTCAGCGTCAACTCGAGGCCATTGATGACGAGAGTTCGTCAGACGAGGAGGGTCCCCAGGACATCACTTCCCAGGCAGCAACTCCTCCAAGAGCCGCCGAGAAGCAAGTATCCCCGCCACCGCCATCGCCTCCTATTATCACGGCAACCTCTCCCCCAGCAGCTGCGGCCAGCACCTCGAACATCAGCTCCCCACAAGCAGGTACCGCCACCCGCAACCCCTTCTTCAAGAACTTGGGCCAGCCAACAGTTCCAGGAGCAGGCGTGCCTGTCACATCGCCACTCGTCACATCGCCTCCTGCACAGGACACTAACCCATTCCACCGCCTTCCTCAGCAACAAGCTGCCGCCAAGGCTCCCGAGCCTGTCCAACCCAACCCAACTGGTGCAAGACCTTCCCGCGTCCGCCCAGAAGAAGATGAGTGGTCCGTGGTCGGTTCAGACCGCGAGGACTCATCCGACGAGGAAGAAGGGCCTGGTGCCGGAAACGCCCGCCAGCTGGCCTCGATGCTGTTCGGGACCATGGCACCACCCCGCCCCCTTTCTGCTGCTGACGATACACACGCTTTCTCCCCGGTTAGCCCAGGCATGACGTCGCCAACGGCCGAGTCTCCTGCCCCCAGTGGCGCTCCACCTCCGCCTCCACCACCGCCACCAATGCCTGGCATGGGCGCGCCACCAAGTGCACCGCCGCCTGGTATGGGCGCTCCTGGCGCACCACCGCCGCCACCACCACCTCCTCCAGGAGCCGGGCCACCCCCGCCTCCGATGCCTCCTGCAGGCGGACCGCCAGCTGGGGGTAGACCCAGTGCCCTACTTGGCGAGATCCAGAGCGGTCGCACGTTGAGGAAGACGCAGACGAAGGATAAGAGTACCGCTGCGGTTGCGGGTAGGGTTTTGGATTAGTTTGTAAAGAGATAGTGGACGTGTTGGAATTTGGATGAGGCTCGATGACGTCGAGTAGAGTGTATGGTACATAGCACCCCGGGGTTTATTCTAGCAACCCTTTACCTTTATAATCACGCAAATTTCTCTCGTGGGTGGCCTTTTGTGAATAGTCATGTATTAAATTTGTTATGGATCCCGCGGCACCCGTATCTCCACCTGATAACCCCCCCCCAAAAGCCCACCAGCCCACCAAAAAAATATCAAGGAGATAATGAACAGAGTGGGACTCGAACCCACGCCACTTTCGTGACCAGGAAACTATGTGATGTATATCACATGTATTAAGGTATAACCTTAACCTGGCGCCATAACCATCTCGGCCATCTGTCCGGGTTGTTTGTTTCTGGTATGGTGTAATTTTGGAATATTTGTTGCCGAAAAGTTCGAGATTTAAAATATCATAATATCATAATGTGGAAAAAATTATGATTGTGAATTAATTGCGAATTATGGATTTTTTGATTATCTAGCTTAGATAATATAATATATTCAACGGGTTATCGCTATAAATACACAAGCCATCTAGAGCTTAGTTATACAGCCTACAGGTGAGGCGTGGCTTGACCTGGACAATATTACAGTCTGCCGTTCATATCGTACAATGTCCCTGCTACTCGTACACACGGTATAATGCCCTATCCGTAGCCCGTAGCCCTTCTAGAAGCAGATATATATCACCTGCGAAGGCGGTTACATCACAGCAAGCTTTATTAGGCCGCATCCTCCCCCCCGACCGGTCAGTATCTGCGGCCGTGGTATTACCTATCACATCCAATGAGCTCCAGCTGGCTCTATTATTTCCATAACACTGCCTACTCAGGCCGCAGGCTCAAAGTCAAATCGGCAATCACGGTTGCTTGGGTTTCGCTAGGGCAGCCTGCAGCTGACTCTCGAGTTGGAGAATTTCATCTGAATATGTGTGAGTTTGTCACTCTGCACCGGTCTTGGCTTGGTCCATACTTTGTCGCTCCGACTTGATCTCGTCCTTTTCCAACTTCACCCAGAAGTAGTACGATAGTTGGTATGTGAATGTTGCCAGGAGGAGGACCTTTGCGATTGGGTGGGCGAATGTTTTGTAGAAGTTAACCTGTTCGGGTCGGGGAATTAGCTTTCATCAACAAGAAAGAGGACTCGGAATAGCTGCATACGTGACCGGATACGGGCTTGAGGGCGTCGCCGGCGGGTGGTGGTGAGGAAGCAAATGCGCGACGGAAAGAGGTGACGGAGCGGCGGCTGTTGGTTTGTCGTAGAGCACGAAGTGATACGCTCAAAGGTGATGCCATCTCGATTGAAAGAAGGGGTCTATATGAAATTCCGACTCTGCAGACGACTTCTTGTTAAAGTGTTGTTGGGCACAGATTATTTATGACAATGTGCAATGGAGGCGGTTCCCCATAATTTTGCACCTCGGCTTCTCCCGCTAGAGCTAGAGTTACTATAGCTTAGTGGAAGCTACTTTGGTCATGTATGTACGTACATGTCGTGCGACCTGGGGGACACCGTTTCTAAATCCAGCCATTTCTCAACTCCAACGACAATCCATCTCCAACAATTATTCCAATTAACTCAAGATAAACTTACAATCTCATATTCGAATAGAATACGATCATATCAACTTCGGAAACCCGCCGAGATCGCCCCAAGTAACACACGGCCAAAATGGTATGTAAGACACACGGGCCGAGTAGATATAATGCTGATCTTCCCTCCAGGCGCAAACACCACAGCAACGGAAGAGCAACCAGAAGTTCGCCAAAGAGAACAGGGCCAAAATGGGGAAGCCAGAGGGCACATTGAAGAAGAAACAGCAAACCTTTAAGTCGCCGGTGTCTCCAACCTGGCTTGGTTCGTCAAATCACTATATCCCGATTGCTCTTCACCTGCTAATCCGTCCGCTTTCTAGTCCTTTTAGCATTCGTGGTGTTCGGTGGTCTGATATTCGAGTTAATTTCGAGGGTATTCTTCAGATAAATGAGGCGGATCAAGGCGGTGGTGAAATCGATACGAGGGGTAAGCGCAACGTGGCTATATCCAACAAAATGCGCGACCCAAACTTCAAGCTACACAGTGTACCAAACATTATATCTCAGGCTCAATTTAACATAAGAATTGAAGATTGATGCTCCCTAACTTCCATAAAGGTGCACACAACATGCCCCGCGCCATATATAAGCTCTCTACTAAGCACCGAGTCCCATCCTCTTGCTGTGCCCACCATGCTTCAACCGGATACCAGCCTCAAACTGCCTTTCAAGTTCGCTCTGTACTCGTTCAATATCATTACCAGCCCCCCCACTGGACCGGGCCGGTTTTGCACTTCCAGCAGCACCAGCATTCTTCCCAGCTCCAAGTAACCTGAGAAACTTAGATTTCCGTGCGGCGTCACCAGATAAAGCATCCGGGTTCCACTGCTCAGCGCTCGCCGTGACTGGCCCGTCCGTTACTGACTTTTCTGACTTCTTGGTGTCTACATTCTTCTTTTTTGACTTGTGACTCTTATCTTCTGGTTTAGGCGCCGTTTTCTTCGACGGCAGCACGGCTGCAGCTTCTGGTGCCGCCTTGGCCGAAGCTTCTTTCTCATTCCGTAACTTCCTCAACCTCTTCCTCTCTTTCTTAGCCGCATCCTCGTCTACCTGCCCAGTCTGTTCGTTGTCCTCTCCGGCATTGCTTGGTTTTGCTGCGTCACCGTCGGAATCCATAGCCTTTTTCGACTTCTTAGACTTCTTTGCTTTCTTAGAATCCTTATCCTTATCCTTATCCTCATCCTCCTGCTCGGCCCCAGAATGCTTTCGTTTCTTGGATTTGCTCGGCGCCTCTGTCTCGACCGTAGCCTCAGCCTTGCATGCCTCAGCCTTGGCAAGTTTTCTCTCAGCCTTCGCAGCGGCCTTTATACTTTCAGCATCTTCGACCTGCTCCGTTGAAGTCTCGGTCTCCTTTTGCTTCTTAAGAGCTTGCAGGGAATCCCAGTAAGCATATTGACAGGCATGTGGTGTGAATCAATTCAATACCTTTTTTCTCCCGTTTGGCCGCCTTGTCCTTTTTTCTTTGCGACTTGGTGATGGATGGACTGGCGAGCAGCTCGGGGCTGTCTTCTTTCGAAGGAGCCATATTCAATCGAAGCGGTTACCGCTAGACTCTGCGCTGGAAGGTGAGGGGATCTTTGGTATTGGAGAGAGCGATTGAGGTTCTTAAGGGAACCGGGGTGCTTGTCAAATTTCAGGTCTGGAGAACAACGTTATCGATAAGACAATCTTGACTTGACCTGTCAGATTCGAGTCACGTGCGTCTTTATTATGTCACACAAAATAATTTATATTCAATCGAACTCTTTAGATGCCTAATGAGTATAAGGTTTATATATAATAAGTAGCCTTATAGTATTGGTTGTCAAGTGACGTAGGTTCGGCTGGTAAAACAATACCCCAGGTCAAGACCATATGCGCTCGAAATCCAATAAACGTTATGTTTTCTCAGCATCGGCCTCGATACCCCCTGCCTCAGGCTCCTTGGCCTTGACTTTCTTCCTCTTCTTCTTTACCGTAGTAACCTCAGCAGACCCATCCGCTTGCTCCGCTTTCTTCTTCGAGGGAACCTTCCCAGTCGCTTCATCACCAACAGCCTTAACCTTTTTCTTGGTCTTCTTCTTAACCACAGTCCCTTCTGGAGGAACACCCTGAGCAGCCTGGATACGCTCATTTGCACGTTGCATTTCCAGCCTCAACTTCTCAATCTCTTGCATTGCTTTGGCCATTTCTTCTTCCTCTTTCTGATCGTGGTGATGCTCGTACTCTGCCGATCCTCCGCTGACGTTATCGTCACCTTCAAGAACAAACTCTCCTATGTTACTTGAGTCTACAAGAAGAGGCGACCTCTTTGGCTTTGTTCGAGCACGTGGTTGCCCTTCTAAACTGGCCTCCGAATCATCGTTCCTCGGGGTTGAGCTGCCACTAGCAGCGAGTGTCTCATCCGCTGAAACCTGGATGCGTTGGCGAGGTTTGACAGCCGCCCGCTTTTTGGGTTTCTGCTCTGGAGCAACAGATGGCATGTTTCCCAGGTCGAGTTGCATGATTGGTATAGAGTCAATGTCGAGGTCATTCCCGTTGCCATTTCGGATGATCGTGTCGAAGGGGGTAGATGTAGAAGATTCCGAACTGATGCCAGCAATATAAAATGGGTCATCTTTATTTCTTTCCAGTCTCTCGGCCCTCCTGCGAGCAACAATGTCAGGATCCAAGTATGTGTCTTCCGTATCGCGCTGATACGACTGAGGCTTCTCCTCGGGGGTTTCTGCGAGGCGGTTGATTGCGGGATCCGCCATTGATAAACTTAAAGTTGATGGTCTCTGATGATAATACTCTTGGAATTCGTCCTCATCAGTTCTCTCGTACGCTCCTGAGTCAGCTCCTCTGAGGAGCTCATTTAAATTGGCAGTGATAGGTTGATCAAGGTTAAGATTGGCCGGCATAGGTACATTGCTTTGAGCGCCTGGGGCAATGGAGTGGAGATCAAGGCCCGCAAATAGTGACGGTATTGCCTGGGTTAACAACAAAGGTGCGTCGTACTGATCCGTGGTTGAAGATGCCTCTTGACCAGCAGAAGCCTCTGCAGCTAGCCGTAGGAGCTCTACAAATTCCGTGGTTCTTTCCTGCACCTCCAGATTCGGGTGCAACGCCAATGGCTCCATAGTATGTAGTATGCGAGCCATCAGAAGTGACAGCATGGTTTTCCTCTCAGCGGACCACTCCATAGATTCGTTCCCTGACAAATGGGCAAACACCTTTGGTATGGCTTGTAACGTCATCGCGAGCACCTCGGGATCTGACTGTGGTTTTGTAAAATGCAGGAGACCAACCAGCACGTCTTCTGGATAGGATAGATATGGAGCGTACTCTCCCACAACCCACGTCACGGGCCGTAAGATTCCTCTCTTTTCGGCAATTTGGGGCACTGCCCCGTGCAAACCATCCACTATTATGGACTCCGCAGCTCTCGTAGCGCTGGCACGTATTGCCTTAACCTTGACGGCAACGTTTCGTAACTCATTTCCTATATTTTCAGCCACATCTGACTCTCCAGAGTCGTTGGCGAGAGTATGCGAGTCGGCAGCAGAAGTTGGGATGTGCCTGGGCGCGTTGCGGGCGAGTTGAATCAGGATATCAATATACCACTCAAAATCAACAAGATTGTTGTAATTGCTGCTTGAGCACATCTTTAGAATCCTCAGAATAACATCATTCCTGTAGTCGTCCGGAAGATTATATGTAGCGGCGTTCCGATTCGACCTCATATTTACCCCTGGGTTTTCTTCGTCAGAATCGAATGCAGCTGGACTGGGTGAACCGCTATCCTGGGAATCCGTCGAGGTTACGCTCCGTAATTGGCGCATTAATCGACCAACAATAGACATGAGGTTATCGCTGCTGACCATGCCCACAACTAGATCTAGTGCTCGCAGTCTGATGGACATATCTGGACTGTCTATGCAGTCCATTATAACATCTTCTTGCTGTGATACGAGATATGGGTGAGTCAATACAATCTGGTTGAAGGCTAACAGTGCAACGTATTTCACTGAATATTGTTAGGGCCGGCTCGTATTCATGGAAGGGTCGGTACTTACAGTTAGGGTCGCCTTCAACCATTATCATACCACGAAGTTTGGTGACACATAAAGTAGCAATCTCATCTTCGCTTTCATTGTCCGTCCCTCCCAATATCCCACCTTGAATAATGCCATTGATGCATTCATACAAGAGCGACATTGCAGGTGTAGTCCGGATGATCGATGTCAGAGGGGGTAACAGTTTTTTAACAAGGCGAGGCTCTAAAGGAGTCATCGTCGCAAACTAGTCAAGTCAGTGTTGTTTCCCAATAAAGGCTCATGACGACTGACAAGTTTGATTAATTTGATTGCCATCCAATTATTTCCTCCATCGACCAGCAGTTCAAACAACCTTGGGGCTAAAGGCAGGAAATCCTGAGGACGCCGCCATCCAAGCTCACAGATTACATTGACAATGGCTGCAGTAACACTGGAGTCTTCGTTGTCGTCCATTAGACGTTCTTTGATTCTGGGCCACGCCGGCCGTAGCGTTTCGGGGTAAACCAGGGCCAGGCGATATATAGTAACGATTGTCTTTTTCCGAACCGTTGGGCTGGAGTGTGTCAAACGAGGAAGTAAATCGGATAGCACGGACATGGCTAAAGATGAGGTGATAATGTGAGGTAAAGTTATAATTGGGAGAGACATTGTCGTTAGAGATGCGGAGACGATGTCCTTGCAATGGTGTCAGTATAGTTCTCAGCTCATAAGATGGACGATATGAACCTTCTTCAACAAATTTGTCGCCAACATCAAGACTTCTGTATCAGGGCGGAAACTTTGGACGGCTCCGAGGTAGCCAACCCTTTTTTGTATATATTTGGCGGAGGACATGACTTCGAGCACATGGAAGGAAGCCCAGGACATATCATGTCCGAACATTTCGAGATAGACAAGCTTCAGCAAAGCTGTCGCCTTGACATCTAATGGGGCTGTCAGCATGGCTGTACAGTAGGCACAGAATATCCACTAACCCATGTCCTGCCCACGGATTTCTGCTCGACATTCTTTGAGGCTGTTTTGTATGTATGCCTTCTCGTTGCCCTTGTGGTTCCGCAATCCTCTTATGAGGTCATAGAGGGATTTTTCAAACCTGGGGCGCGTCAGTAAAGATCTCGGCAGCCTTCATATATGAGTGGAGAGGACGTACATCTTGAGGCTCTGTCGCAGGGTGCTCCCTCCCCATCCATGAGAGCTGTTCAAGCGCCCCGATATCAACGAATGGGACGGGGCGGGGATAGAGTGCCACGGATTTCTATATTAGCCTTCCCAAGGCAACCCCTAAAAGTAGAATATGGTAAGGAAGTGTCGCCGAAGTGCTAGGCCATTTGTTGTCTTAATACACCGTAGCAGCACATTATCAGCGTCTCGAAGATGTTGCCCCACCAAACGAGACAGGCTTGGGTGCATCATGGTCGAAGAACGCGGCCCCTACCTTGGTGGACCGTGCACCCTTTCTGTGGTTCACTACTCCGTATGTACTATCAACCTCACCTCATACGGTTGTGCCTCATCAGTCGGATACAAGCTGTCGCATCTCCTGGAATTATATTTCAACGGATAGCTCTACAAAAAGAAGATGTCTTCGTCAATTCTCCAACAACCTGCCCACCTGCCGCCCTCGGTAGCTCTGCAATTGTCCCAACAAGCTCCTGTGCTACTCTCGACGACCCCATCGTCGATCGCTCCATACTCTCTTTCGTCCGTATATGCTGCGCCAGAAACCCCAGAACTATGGACAACGTACGAAAACCTCATGCTATCATGCCTCCGCACTGGCGACAAGCAGTCGGCCCGCGTATGCTTGGACAGGCTGTTGAGCAGGTTTGGGGGAAGCAATGAGAGGCTCATGGCATTACAAGGACTATACCAGGAAGCAACAGCGGAGAATGATGCCGAGCTGCAAAGGGTTTTGACGGAATACGATGCTATACTCAAGAGTGACCCGGGCAATATGGTTTGTTTTCCTGCATACCTCATTACAGGAGATGTAGCTGACTTCTCTACAGCCTGTTTCAAAACGGCGCATAGCTCTCCTGAAGTCGAAAGGAAAACAAGCAGAGGCCATTTCAGCCCTTGCTCAATTTCTCGACTGTTCTCCAACTGATGCGGAAGCGTGGGCCGAAATCAGCGACTTATATGCTTCCCAAGGACTCTATCAGCAGAGCATCTTTGCTTTGGAGGAGGTCTTGTTAATAACACCGAACGCTTGGAATGTAAGGATATTATAAACCGCTGTACAAATCTATTGGCTAACCATTGAAAGATACACGCGAGACTTGGAGAGCTCCTGTTTACCAGCGCCGGGACCGATGGAAGTACAGGGAAGGACAATACCACTGAAAAGTACCTCTTCGAATCTGTACGAAGGTTTTCAAGAAGTATTGAGCTGTGCGATGACTATCTCAGGGGGTTTTACGGCCTGAAGCTTGTATGTTGGCCATTTATAAATAGTGTCCACGCGAAAACTAACCTTTGACAGGCAACTTCTCGTGCATTGCTTACCTTGTCGGAAGGATCGAATAAGTTCAAGGCTGATTCGACACCGAGCGTCAAAACTATACAGAGCCTTAACCTGCTTGCAACTGCCAAACTTACGGAAATTGTGCGCCGGAGCGTCGCACGAGAAGCTGGTTGGGAGGGATATGACGCAGCAGAGCTTATCGCAGCACGAGAACTACTTGACCGAGACGCAGTCAAAACCATCCGTTAGTTCGGTGCGGTGACGCGGGCAAGGAATATCCACGCAAGGTACGGAACTGACTGATGAGCGCTGTATTCTGAAGACCCGGGTGTAGGGCTGACGATCGCGTCTCGATCCGAAAATCGAGACAATCTGGTCAGACCATGATGGCGATGGTGGGCCCAATTGGCACAACTGCAATTGTCGTGGCGTTAGTCTCTGATGACATTGTGCCAAGAAGCGAATTTTGTTTAGCTGTTATAGTACGTGGCATGTCTGATCGCGCCGGAAGTACTTTTGGGCGTTGGGGCCTGATAGGACCAAAAAAGAAGATGTGGCTTTCCTTCCATGCAGGATCGCGGAAGGCTTGGGCATCAACCTTGATCTTGGGCGGCAGTTTTTTGTTCGGTGAGCCTCGTCGACTGTTTTAACCTGGTTCCAAGGCAGTGGATTGGGGAATGGATCTGATCCCCAGCGCTTTCTCCGACAATTAATCCCTGTTGCCTTGGAGTGCGTGGCCTTGGGCTGTTGCGCAAATTGCCCAACGCACTGAATACCGTGTAGATCCCTTGGTGAGATCCACTGGGCTCCCATATTGAGTCACATCCAGGTGTTGCCAGATGTTCTTGTGGGCTGTTTTTGGGATTGACAGCAAATTTTCATCACTGTGGCCGGGCAATCCTGGTGGAGCTTGGGCGTTGGCATCTGTATATTAGACAAAGAACGGCCACGAAATAAAATGTCAATAACTCTTCAGACCTTCCCCACAGTATTTGTACCAGAAGTGTATAAGTGTTTTCCACAATCCACAAGGCTTTTGTGACATTTTGGGTTGTTCCTCAACCACAAACCACAAGGCGAAGCGAATCTCTCAGAACCAATATGTTCGTGACCTTCAGGAATCTTTTCAGAAAACCATATTCATTCCCCAAGAAAAGGCCATAGGAGCCTTACATTTATCCCTACAAATACCGGACTGCCTGGCCCACTCGAACGGAGGACTTTATACACAAAAACACTCCACCCCATAGGACGGACACTGCTGGATCTTTTCTCTCTCTCTCTCTCTCTCTCTCTCAACAGCATCGCATATCCTGCGAGTATTTTTTTTTGGCAGTTCCACAATCCACAACAGGGACAGGGCTTCGCCACATATCCTGGAGGCTGCCCAAAGACCAGAGGAGACAAAAACAGAACCACCTTTTGGAGTCACCCGTTACACTGATTACTTTATTGTTTTGGAAACCCTTGGAGACCACAGACCAAAGATACCTTCTTCGCTACATTTTTAAACTGATCGCGAGGTGGTCAAGTACAGCATACTTTTATATATCTACCTTGATAGACCATCAACCCACGAAAAAGGTTTGTCTTAATTCGAAAACAATCCTAGCTGTCTGCAGGCAGTATTCCAACGTCTGACTCCCGCCCGAGCCATTTGTTTGATGACTGACGGGAAGGCCGATGTTAAAACAAGTGTTTGCCGGGAATCCACTGCGTTTCTTTTCGATTTCGCCGTCTTCGGGCTGTTTTTTGGGTTGTAGGACCATCGTGCCTTGCCAACGGCGTCTCGATTGCCATCCATCACCCACATCGAAACCCCTCACTAACCATGATCGCATCTCAGTTCAGATATCGTCCTGACACACTTTTACCCCGTCAACCATCTCCAAAGCAACGCCGTTACGAAGTAGTCGTCATCGCAAATACCAATCACTCACAATCGATCGCATGTACCTTGTTGACGTCTCGGCCCCACATCCCCACGAGTACCACCAAACAACCAAAGTAAACAAAACAACACACCAAACTCTGCGCCGATTACCTGCTGTTTCGCCGTTTTACTCGCGCGACAAGTATTTGGCGGTCAAGATCCAGCCAGTGTTGGCGCCTTACATATCGACCGCGAAAAAATCCACATTCCAGCCGTAGCCTGTTGCAGCCGACCTTTACCTGCGTGTCAACGTCAGGGATTATAAACACAAAAAGGATATCTCCGTCTCGACTCTCCCCCAAGGAGACGGTCGCGACCTGGAGATATACCCTACACCGAATTACAAATGCCGCCGTAAGTCATACATTCCTTTTCCTTTTAATAAGACAGTGCACTTTCACCGCTCCGAGACCCCACAATGCCCACTAACGAACGTCGCTGCGCAGAGCCGTAAAAGTCGATCTCGACAACCACTCCCCGTCGAATAGCTCTTCTCGATCTTCCTTCACGGGAGGAAGCTCAACAGGTACTGGAGTCCATGTCTTAAATACCGTCATAAACCACGAAGATTCTGACCCTCTAGACGATACATGGGATCCAATATACCCCGAAGACCCCGAGCCGTCGGAGCCTGCTTCCCGTTCCAGACAGCAGCCGATATACAGGAACTCGAGCCAACCCGCTCCCTCGATCCGTAGAGGCTCCTCTCGAAGGCAGACATCGTCGTCTGACCACAGCTCTCGCCACCAGCAACCACGCTCGCATCGGCCAAGGCCGAACCCGCCATCGAGTGTGGCGTCCATAGAGGACTACCCGGGCTATGGCCGAGGCTTCCCATCGCAACATCCTCAATATGGCGGCAGGGCGCCGCCGCCCCCGGCAGGATATCCGCAAAGCTTTGCCTCCGGCTACACTGTAGGTGCGCCGCCACCACCTTTCCCTGGAGCGGCTGGGCCGGTAGTGCCGTTCGGGCCTCCTCCTAGCTCGCACGGGTACCCCCAGAACCCCTTCTCACCCGCCGCCGGGGTTGGCCAGCAAGGCTACTATCCGCCAGGGCAGCACTATCCTCCCGGCCAGCAGCCACTTGGCGGCTTTGGTGGGCATGAAATGATGCCATACGGGCAAGCGCCACCATATGGCGGCTACCCCCAATACGGGGTGCCGCATCAAGGCCAAGGAACATCGGGAAGCCAATCGCCTTATTATCACTATTCTCAGCCGGTCCCGCCTCCCCACGAGTCGCCTGCGCCAACTCCAGCCCCGGCACCTGCGCCGGCGACTCCAGCACCACCTCCCGCGCCTGTTGCCGACCCCGAAGTGGAGAAGAAGTTGGCTGAACTTCAAAAGGCACTTCAAGAATCGCGAAAACTTTTCAACGACAAGGTGGCGGCAGAGCAAAAGGCGAAGGATGACGCCGAACATACTGCCGCCACAAATAAGAGGGTCGCCGAAGAAGTTGCCAAGATGAAGGCAACGATGGAAGCAGCGGCGCGAGCCAAGGAAGTTGCTGACGCGAAAGCCAAGTTTGATGCTGAGGTTGCCGCCGTGCAGAAGGCAAAGGACGACGAGAAGAAGGCAAAAGCTGAAGCCGAGGCGAAGAAGAAGTACGAAGCAGATTTGAAGGCCAAATTTGAGGAGGAGATCAAGGTGGCCAAAGCTGAAGCAGACGCCGCGAAGGCTTTAGCTGCCCCGCCGAAGGAGGTGAAAAAGAAGCCGATCAAGTTCAAGGATGCTGTTGGCCGCAAGTTCAGTTTTCCGTATCATCTTTGCCAAACATGGGCAGTAAGTTTTTTTGGTCCCTTGGCGTGAATTATGTACTAACAGAAATAGGGAATGGAAGATCTCATTCGACAAGCATTCCTTCACGTGGAAGTCATTGGCCCTCACGTCCAGGAAGGCCATTATGACCTGATTGGACCTAATGGCGAGATCATTCTTCCCCAAGTATGGGAAACGATGATTGAACCTGACTGGGCAATTACGATGCACATGTGGCCTATGCCAGAGCCTCCAAAGCCGGAGCCTGGCCCACCGCCCGTGCCAGTTCCCCAAGCTCATGGGAAACGACACTCGCAGAAGGCGGCGCCTAGGGGCCGAGACAGGGGTCCACCACCACCACCACCACCACCCCCAGCTGGCGGTTGGCCTGATTCAGGTCCTGGAGGAATGCCTGCGGTCATGGTGATAGATGACAATGTTCCGAAGAAGAAGAAGACAGAGAAGTCATCTTGGGGTCTATTTGGAGGAGGTGGAAGCAAACCTGCGAAGGGTGGGAAGGGAAGGTGAGTAACAAGCGTAAATGATCTGATGCGGCAATTTCTAACGGAAAATAGGGCAAAGAAGGGTTGAGAATAATGCTTTTTGGCAAAATATTAGCCACGTTTGAAGAAACTAAGGGGCGGGGGCCGTCATGGACGACGGCTCTACGCAGTCACGGTCTGGTAGAGCACAGGCGACTCAGAACTGCGCCAGCCAAGTTGAGATCGCAAGTTCTGGTCACGACGCTCCAAGAGGTAGACCTGGAGCATTTATGTCTCGCCGACACGTGGGGGGAGGGGAAGAATATGTAGCAAATTTACGACTTTATTTATCGATGTAGCATTTGGGATATATGGAGTTGTTATACCCTTGTTGGAGGATTTAGATTCGATGACTATTTATACGACCTGTTATTATATGAGAATGATGTGAATTAATATACGAGATGTGAGAAGTTTGCATCAGTGAGAGCGAATGTTGGAATTTGGAATTTGTATGTACAGTATTATAGGTTTTCGGACCGACCCCCAACGCCATTTGTATGCAGCACACTCATTATCGTTGCCTTCTTCTGTTGCAGCCTTTCATCCCAGCCATTCATCAAGTTACAATTCGAAGCCGCTACTTCTGCCTTGGGCTGTCCAGCAACAACTTTGCCCTCTTCTCAAATGCCTCAATCATAACCTCTGCCAGTTTTGGAGCAACCGCTTTACTCAGAGATCCATACAATGGGTTTGAGAATTGAAATTCGATCGCCAGGTTCACCTCTGTGAGAACGCGAGAGACTCCAGACGTAGCGGGTTGTCCTAAAAGCGGCTTCACCGTCCACCTCGTTGATAACCGCTTGAAGATGTTATTGGGTATAGCAGGAGACTCTATTCTCGAAAGGCGACCAAGTGAATGCTGTTTTGAAACGGCGGGCACAGCATCACCCCCGAGGGCCTCGACAATGGTGTCTGAGACGCAATTGAGCTTGCTTGTGAATGTCTCCTCAAACCCTCCCCACCCAACTTTCAAGTCTGCTTGCTCGGGCCATCTCTTCCCCTTGGTATCTGGTTCTGACCATTTTGTGACTCGGGATTCTTGACAATAAGGTATGAAGCTTGAATAGAGGTCCACGTCGGCGATCAGGGTATATAAACTTGACGATTCGTACGGGAGAATTCGAGTTTCCTTCAGAGTAATGAGTTCGGAGCCTGGAAGGGTGAGAAAGCTTCGTCGAATTGGCGCAACTGGGCGAAAGTTCTGGGGTCTGACAGAGGAAATGCGGCGCATAACTCGAAGTGGAATCGGACACGCCATGGTGGAAGGTAAAAAAAAGAGAGTTATTGATCGCTTCAAAAAACAATTTTCATTATGCTAGGTATTCCGCCCCAGGTAATGTACACATGAAGTCGCAGACAAAAAACATTGCGATATTTGGAAGCTAGATAAACTCACCAGCCAGCTAACTGATCCCTGTCCATTTCCTTCCCGAAACTCGCTTACATAATGAGCCGCACCTTAAATACGACAAAAAAGTTTTTGTGTTCTTGACAAAAACCTTCTTCCATAATACTCTCAACAAACCCAAATCTCCAACGACAAACAGCCCTAGTTTCTCCCGAAGTTTCAGGAGCGACTACTGCTTTTTGAGATGGGTGCGGACATGGAGATTCCGGTGGACACTGCGATTGTGCCAGTTGCACAGGATCAGAGTGAGCAGGCTCAGCCTATTGGCGGGGACGTCCCCGCACATCTGTCTCATGACCCTCAGCACAATATGAAACGAACTGACCCTTTCCAGTTTGGATCGCGGTTACTCAAAGAGAAGGATAACGTATTTGAATTTAACGCGTGGGACCATGTGGAAACAGATGATGCCTACAAGGAGTATTCTGAAGTACAATATGCGAAGCAGCGTGAAGCTCCGGTTTCTGATTTTGACAAGAGTGAGTTTCCATCTTTTCTTATGCGCACCACTTTCATGATGATTCAAAATGCATAGTTCATCTGAGGTCTACGGATCCCTGAATGATACAAACATAGCAACGTCTTTCGCTCCTATCTGATATAAAGTCAAAAGCATTACTTTTTTGATCACACAATTCTCAAGAATCTCCGCTAATGCTTCTTCAGACAGATTTAACTCCGATCCCGCTAAGTGGTGGAACCAGTTTTATAAAAACAACACGTCTAATTTCTTCAAAGACCGCAAGTGGCTTCGTCAGGAGTTCCCCGTGCTTGCCGAAGTCACGCTCGCAGACTACGGTCCCTGCACGCTCCTTGAGGTCGGTGCCGGTGCTGGCAACACCGCCTTTCCTATTATTGCAAATAATCAAAATCCAAACCTTAAAATCCATGCCTGCGATTTCTCCAAGATAGCCGTCAAAGTGATGCGTGAGAATGATGCCTATAATACGAGTCAAATCCAGGCCGACGTCTGGGATGCCGCGGCGCGAGAACTCCCGCCGGGACTCGCCGAGGGCTCTGTAGATGTCGTCCTGATGATATTCATATTCTCCGCTCTCTCGCCGACGCAATGGCGTCAGGCTGTGTCGAACATCTATCGCGTGCTGAAGCCAGGCGGCGAGGTGCTATTCCGGGACTACGGCCGCGGAGACCTGGCCCAGGTCCGCTTCAAGAAGGGACGGTACATGGAGGAGAACTTTTATGTTCGTGGGGATGGCACGAGGGTTTACTTTTTTGAGAAGGACGAGCTGGAAGAGATTTGGTCGGGCGAGGGTGTGTCTGCTGGCGGCGATGCGCCTGCTGCCCCGAGATTTGAGATTGTCAGCTTGGGCGTGGATCGCAGACTGCTTGTCAATCGCGCCAAGCAGCTCAAGATGTATCGATGCTGGATGCAGGGGCGGTTTCGCAAGGCCGCAGACACCACAAGCAGTTCGGAGGTCGTCAGTTGAACGAAGCTACGATCGTGTGATGAAATAAAAAGCACGTCCGGCTCCTATGCCGTATAAAGAATGCTCAGAACAACATGGCGATAACAAATGTACCTACAACAGGACTTGGGTATGGCTGGATTGGACAATAGCCCTTCTCCCCCGGGTCGAAGCTTAACTCTTGTGTGAAGGTTTTACCTCTTGAGAAATTGTCGAGGCTTCCGAAGGGCTGAGATTCTGTGAGGCAATTATGCCTCCTGAGTGACTGATGCCAAGGAGACTGATGTTCTAGATAGTCTCGAGCAGATGAGTGTATATGGGAAAGATAATTAAATAAAGGTCCATATATAAGAATGCAGATCGTCACATTACGACTCGAAATGATGTTTGTGCATGTACGATTGCAGCTGCCTTAGTCCAGGAGATGAAGGGAACCTGGCTCGGACTTTTCAATCCCGCACGAATTTTGTTCACGTTGCAGATTATGAGATGGAGGAAACAAAAAAGTTCATTACATTCTTTAAAAATAAGAAAGCTCCCCCATCTTCAATTCAACAGACCCTCTGTAGCCTTCGAAGCCAGCCCGTGTCTATATCCACGGAGGTGTCGAGTCAACTTCCAACGGGTGAAGTCGACAGGACAGCCTCTTACAACAGAGGAAAAGCGTGCTAGACACTGGAAGACTCTCATTTTGGCACAGAATTCAGGATCCACAGTATAGTATATAGCGTATATATAATAGAGTTTGATTCTCTCGTATCGTACAGTACAATACATTCCACGCCTTCTAACGCCATCCCATCTATATCCACCAAAACATACACTTCCCCACTCTCACCTCGCCCGCTCGACCTTATTCAGCCTCGACGCCGTCATAATCTGTCCCCTGTTAGCCTCTATCCCCTCTCACTATCACACCTAACAGAAAGAGCAAACATACCTGCGTCCTCGTGCGCTGTCCCCTAACCGGCAACCCCATAGCATGTCTCCTCCCCCTATAACTCCCCATGTCTCTCAACCGCCTAATATCCTCTCTCATCGTCCTCTTTGCATCATTCTCGATCGTCATGTTCGACAACTCCGCCGTCAGTTGAGTGATGGTGCGCTGCGGTATGTCGCCGATGCGCGCGAGCGGGTGGATGCTGAATTTTGCGAGCAGCCGCGAGCAGGAGTGCGGACCGAGCGCGTAGAAAGATTGGAGGGCGATGGTGGCCAATTTGGATTCGGGGAAGTTGATGCCGAGGAGGAAAACCTGGGGGGGGGTTAGCTGTGCTGTACTATATTTCTTGGAGTTGTGGGGGTCGAGGGCGGGGGGTTTGTGGTTGGGGGCCTCGGAAGACGGAGGGCGTACCATTGTGAGAGATATTGAGGGGGCCAATTCGCACGTCTGCGAGTTTGAGGAATTGCAATTGGAGACAATTGGCGTTCGTATCTGCTTCACTGTCTTCGGGATTCTGAGCCTCGAGAAACATTTCGGCGGCTTGCATGGTTTTTCCGCACGGACCACCACGAATTCTCTGGATCACGTGCTAACTTTCCCTCAGGATGCCAATCGAACACCTATGCCCCGCCACTGCCTTCCCAATCAACAACCACAACATCTATTTTCCACGATACAATTGTGCAAAGATGTTCACCCTCCAGCGCAGCGTAGTCTCCGTGCTACTCATCCTCACGGCCGCCTTCGTCTTCTTCGCGCAGACCGCCACGGCCTCCAAGGGCCCGAAGATCACCCACAAGGTCTACTTCGATGTCTCCCATGGCGATGTGCCGCTCGGCCGCATCGTGATGGGCCTTTACGGCAAGACTGTCCCGGAGACGGCTGAGAACTTCCGCGCTCTCGCCACTGGCGAGAAGGGCTTTGGATATGAGAAGTCGAGCTTCCACCGTGTTATCAAGAACTTTATGATCCAGGGTGGTGACTTCACCAAGGGTGATGGCACCGGCGGAAAGTCGAGTAAGTGATGGACGTGACGCAGGAGAGGTAAATTGGCTAATTGGGATAGTCTACGGCGACAAGTTCAAGGATGAGAACTTCAAGCTAAAGCACACCAAGACTGGTCTTCTCAGCATGGCCAACGCAGGCAAGGACACCAATGGCTCCCAATTCTTCATCACCACCGCCATTACCAGGTTAGTCCCGCCCGCAGCATCCATTTAAGTTAATGCACCAACTAACACCCCCTAGCTGGCTCGATGGCAAGCACGTCGTCTTCGGCGAGGTCCTTGAGGGCTACGAGATCGTCCAGAAGATCGAGGACGTACCCAAGGGCAGCGGCGATAAGCCCAAGGATAGCGTCACCATCACCAAGAGCGGCGAGCTCGAGGTCCCCGCAGAAGGTCTGCATGTCGACCTTTAAACCCGTTACCCTTCCTGAACGTATCTAGCATTGTAGCTTCCCTGGACCCGCTGATCCGTTCTGTGCAACCTCGCAGGCTTAGAAAGCGATGATATTATCGGTGCAGACACTCATACGATGAAGACCCCGTCGCCGGAGGGGATCAGCATCTTCCAGAAGCTGCTGTTTCTGGTTGTTATCAGTGGATGTGTGGCTTTGTATGTACGTTACAGCAAGTCGCAGTAGACTGCTTCCAATAGGGGAAAAGTTTGAGTTTAGTTTAGGGCGAGTAAATAGCATTCATTCAAATGAGTAGATCCAAAAGTTATACGACGCTCATTTATGCGTGATTAGCAGTGTCTTGGTCGTGATATTGAGGCCACCAGTGAATAATCCAACCCCGGAAGTTGCCGTAATCATGGTGAGTACCTTGGAACAGACGAACGCGGCTGGACCAGCTTGGGTGCGGACGTCAAAGGCTCACCTAAATTAACCCCAATTACTCTTCATGTAGACATCTACACCAAGCCACAACCATGACGGACCTCTATGGCGGCCGCTCGCCCGGGTCTACAATTGAAGCCTCTGAAATGGACGATCACCGCACCGCAGCATCGTCGCCAACGCGCGCCGATCCACGAACCACGCTCCAACACGTCCTGGGAGACAATGAGTCGGCGCCGACCTTATCGCCACAGAAGCGCGAGGACGCCGATATGACGGAAGATGAGAACCCAAAACCACAGCCATCAGCAGGGAAGGGGAGCGGGAAGAGCGGCGCGAAGGGACGGGCTGCAAAGGGGGTTGCGGCGCACAAGGAGGCGAGTGCTGGTGCGGGATACAGTGGGCACAAGGTGCGGCATCTGAAGAAGGATGATGGGGAGCCGTTGTGGAGGAAGGATATTCAGTATGAATTTCTGTGGAACATCTTTGATGATGAAACAAAGTGCTTCACCAATAGCTATGATCCAGGGCTGGGACTGCAAAGCTTCGCGGAACTATACATTGATGCGATGGCGAGAAGTAGCAAGACGAGCAAGATCCTGAGGGATAAGTTGATGAGCGAGCATGAGCCGGCGAAGAATATGGCTATGGTGTGCCTGCTGGTCAATCTTGGGAGGATGAACACGACTCTGAATTGTAAGCTATACCCCACGACAAAATCGTGACATTGCTAACAAATGTCCAGTCTTTCCGGAGATGCGTGCACAGCTACGGACATACCACGCAATTCCGTCCCTACAAGCACAACAAGACCCGAATTCCTATAAGCAACTACAGGATGCACCACGGTTGAAGTCGATCCTGAAGGGCGCATCAGAGGACCGCTTTGAGCCCAACTCAATCGACAAGATCAAAGACACACCCATACCACGCACCAACCCAGTGAACCTGATCTTCGTCCTCGCCCAATACGCCGCCCGCGTCACCGAACTCCACTTCCCCCCCGGCCGCGACTTCTTCGACCTTATCATGCGCCCAACACTCTCCAGCAAGTCCCGCGCCCGCGCCCTTCTCTGGCTCATGTGGCACTACCTCGAGTCCGACTTCACCGAAGAAGGCTGCAAAGAGAACCCCTTCGGCGCCGGCGTTGACTACGGCACCGGCGTCTCCAACCAAGGCGTCCCTGCCCTCACGACCCTCAACGACGCCGAGATGGCCCTCGAGAACGTCGACACCCCCGAGGAGACGGAGTACGGCGAAGCCAAGATGCGCGAGCGCAAGCGTATCATCGAGGCTGATCAGGCGGCCCTGCATGTTGATTACGGACCTCCCAAGCGAGGCCCAAAGCCCAAACTTAACCTTGGCCCCGACGATGTCGGTGCCAGTCCCTCTGCTGTCCTGCGCACGCGGGCGTCAAAGTATGACTCCGACGTTGATAGCGCGCGCTCGACGCCGCCAAGAGGCGGATCCAACCTGCGCGTCCACGGCCTGAGCGGGGTGCGCACGCGCGGTGGTGCGCTCAAGCACCAGGTCGATGGCGGATCGTCACCTGCACCACGCGAGGCGCCGGAGGGCCAAGCACCGACGGCACGTCGAACACGCCCGCTTACGGCGCATCAGCTTGCTGTGGAGCATAATAGAAATCAACGCGTCAACTACATCCTCTCCCGCGGACTGCGACGAGTTCACCACAACGCGCGGAAGGCGCGACGGATGGAGGGTGCGATTCTACGGGCTGTCCACCGCACAGCGGCGATGCAGGAGATGTGCGAGGATAGCGAGAGTGAGGAGAGTCTTGGCCGAGTTCTCGGGCCGTTCAGGGAGAGGGGTGTGGGCGGGTTGGTGCAGTTGAAGAGTGAGGAGGATGATTTTGGAGAGGAGATGGCGGCGTATGGGGCGGCGTTTAGGAGGATGGGGAGGAGGCTGGATAGGTGGGGGGAGGGGGGGTATAAAGCGCATATTGGGGAACCGGTGGCGACGGTAGAGGAGGCGGGGACGACGGAGGAGGATTTGGATGAGATGGAGAAGGCGTTGTTGGGGTTGGGGAGCGAGGCGGAGGAGGAGGCGGAGGAGGAAGAGGATCTGGATGATGTGGATAAGGCGTTGTTGGGGCTGACGGAGGAGGAGGGGAGTGAGGGTGGCATGGACATTGATTGATTGAATGTGGCGGCGGTGTCAGAAGTGAGATTTCGGTATTTGTTTTCTGCTATTTTGGGAGGTGAGGTCGTGGTGTTTGGGCGCTGGGAGGAGGGAGAGGGGAGGGATTGTAATGCGTTTTTTAGTCTGGCCACAAATATGGGAACATTGTAGTAGTAGTATGGTGTGTATCAACTAGAGGACTTAGACGGCGCTGAAGTATTATTTTGGTATCGATGGACTATTTCTTGTAATTCTACTGCCTTCCAACCCCCATATCTATATTAAAAGGTTCGACCTCTGAGCGCCGACGCCTGATCTCGCTGCAACTAAGCCCTCGGCCCCTCATTTCCAAGAACTCGGACTTGAAGTGGTAATGAAATAGCCTCGGCTTGCGCCGTCCGGTTTACTTACCTCCACACTGCTTAGGCCCGACCACAGTGTTGCTAAAACAACGCGTCTCCAAATTACCCCCTTATCCAGCCCCCTCACTCAAAAGTTCTGTCCAAGTCGGCTTCCATCCCCGCGGTAACTCGGGCTATCATACTGCGCCTGATGCAAGCGCGCCTCATCCTCGTGCATACGCGTATGTGGGTCATTAGCCTCCATCTGCAGAGCCGTCTCCTCCCTTACGCGCTCCTTGGTGCGCACAGCTGGGATCAAGTCGATGAAGATGGAGAGGATGTAGAAGGTGAATATGAAAGCAATGGTCCATTCGAGAACGGCCGCCGTGTCGAAATTGTCTTTCTTGCTCTCCACACCGAATCCTAGGATTGGTTAGCAGATGGCGCTTCTCTGTCGTTGTGGGAGCTTACCTATTGCCAAGGCGACCTCGATGATAATAAAGAAGAGCTTAATCCAAAATGACGCCCTCAGCACACGATGCTCGCGGAAATCTAAGTAACTGTCAATACACATCCCCCTTTGCGAATGCATGGGCTAAACTCACGGATCCCCAACCGCTGGTACTCCGCGCAGATAAAGATAGCCGACACCACGTAGCCCACGATAAACACGACGAGAAATCGATTATGCATATGCGGATGACGCAGCGTATCCATGATACTCAAAGCTAATCAACCCCACCGTACCCACCAACGCGCCCAGCATCGAGAGGAACATAAACGCCTTCTCCGTCATGGTGCGGTTGCGCGCCAGCCGCCCGCGGTGTCGTAGCCAGCGCTCCGCCACTAGCGATAGGTCGAGGAAGACGGTCATGACGACGGAGCCTGCGATGAAGAGGGGCTTGAGGCCTTGCGCGCCGACGTCGGAGATGTATGCGATGCTTTGGGGGGGTTCCATGGAGGGGTAGTGTGGGCGCCCTGAGGTGGTCCAGACGACCAGCATTGCGATGAGCATGCCGAGCCTGGGGGGTGTTAGGGGTTGCGGGAGTGGTGAGGGGAGGGGGCGTGTACCATGTGAGGCCCGAGACGACGGGGAAGACCTGTTAGAAAAGTAAGCTTTTGGATGCATGAAGACGGCGGCGCGCGGCGGGATGTACCCAATATAAGAACCCCCACATGCTTGGCTGAGAGCTGGAAAGCTGTAGTCCTCGATGAGAGAATGTCCGCGCGCTTCAGACGTGGCGCGGTTGTTTTCTGATATAAAGATGTTGATACAGCCCAGTGGCACGGACATTTACTGGGAAGACATAGTAGGGGTCCTGGTGACCATTTAATGAGTGTTATGTCTCCGTATATGTAATGTAAATCATGAATTTTTTTTTGCGACTGGCGGCGCGCAACTCGAAATTCGGATTGCAGGGAACTGACGTCATTGCCTATGATGTTTTTAAATCGTGGCTAAGCTTAAAATCGGTGGCTTGCAACATGACGTACGCATAACTTTATTTTCGAAGCACGTGAAATTCTATATATAATATGGAAAGTAAGAGGTTTGTCTAATAAATAGATATATGAGAAGTATTTTTTACCACCATGTCCCAAATGTATGATATGGGTAACATCTATGTAACGCCATATGTCCATGGAAAATCATCCCTCTCAACGCACCCCCTACTCCTTCTCCTCAATCTCTCCAAAATCTTCCCTCCGAATCCCACTCCTATCACACATCCCCCTAAAGGTCCCTCCCGCCTCATATAACCTCAGCGGCGTATCCAGCTCAGCAATGCTCCCCTTGTCCATCACACAAATGCGATCATACCCAATAATCGTCTTAAGTCGATGCGCAATGCATAGTAATGTCTTGCCCTTGAACCCAGCGGCCATCGTGCGCTGAATCTTATCATCCGTCTCCATATCCACGCTGCTCGTCGCTTCATCACACACGATGATGCGCGAGCCCCGCACCAGCGCACGCGCCAACGCCATCAATTGGCGCTGCCCCAAGGAGAAGTTCAGACCCTCCTCCTCCACCACACCGTCGAGGTGGATGCGTCCAGGCGATTTATCGTCGAGGGATGCGTCCGCGGAGACAAGGTCGGATTGCCGTAGCGCCGACCAAAGCTCGAGATCGGTGTGCTCGCTGAACGGATCGAGGTTGCCGCGCACGGTGCCCTTGAACAGCGTCGGATCTTGCGGGATAATTGCCAGGCGCGAGCGCAGGTCATGAAGGCCGATGGTGGAGATATTCACCCCGTCGATGGTGATGGAGCCAGAGGTGATCTCGACGAGTCGGAAGAGCGCGGACATGATGCTCGATTTGCCCGCGCCGGTACGTCCAACGACTCCGATGCGCTCACCACCGCGGACGTGCATGTTCAGGCCTGACAGGACCAATGGGAGATTGGGTCGGTAGCGCATCTCTACGTCTTTGAACACGATCTCGCCGGCCTGCGGCCACGAATCTGCGACTTCGATGGTGTGGAGTGGTGCCTCCTCTTCTAGCTCCGTGCCGTAGAAGTGCACACGCTCTGTAGAGTTCATGCCGTTTTCGACCTCAGCAAGTTGGCGGACAGTGAACTGCAGGACCTGCACGATAGCGAGGATGTAACTCAAAACCAGGCCGCCAATGGAGGGGTTGACGTTGAAGCGGGAGGTGATGACGAGGATTCCGGTCGTGAAGACGAGCAGGTTGCCAATCGCGTCAAGGCGGATGGACAGCCATCGCTGGTTCGAGAAGGTCAGGTAGTATGCGCTGTTCATGTCGTCGATTGCGCTGCGGATGCCCATGACGAAGCGGTCTTGCAGCCCATAGGCGCGGATACTGGCGGTGCCGGAGAGGCCCTCGCTGAATTTTGCGAAGAGGCTTGAGCGGAAGAGGGACTCGAATCGTTTCATCTCGCGGGCCGAGGCACGATAGTATCCTGCGGAGACTACGAAGATGAAGGATAGCGGAACGAGGGCGATTGTGAACTGTATCGGGTTAGAATTTCTCTGATATCCAACCAGTAAAGTAGGGGGACATACATAATGGAAGTACGCAATAATAAGCGCAAACGTCGCGAAAATCATCCCAATCGTCAAAAAGTACATGCGAATCGCATCCGTCAGGAAATTATCCATGGTATCCACATCCCTCGAGAACCGATTCGTGATGCGCCCCAGCGGCGTCGTGTCAAAGAATGCCATCGGCGCCCGTAGCGTCCGCGTGATCGCCCGGTTCAGCATCACCTTACTAGATGTCGTGCCAAACACGGTCAGCGATACCGAGAAGCCGAACATTAGGAGCGCCTGCGACGCGCCCAGCGCGGCATATGCGCCGATGTATGTACCGGTCGAGAAGCCGAATTTGTCGCTCGTCCACCAGGAGAGCCACAGAGAGGTCACGATGTTGGCTGGTGTGTGGGTTAGCGGGTGTAGACAGGTCGAGGGGGGACAACAACTTACCTCCGTTCGATAGAACCAGGAGGAGCAGGACGAAGACGAGACTCCACATGCTTCCTGATGCCTTAATATAGGATGCATAGACGGACCATGGCACACTCTTGACCTGTCGCTCTTCCGCCTGCATCAACCCCGCAGCCTTCTTCTTTTTGCTCTTCTTGTCCTTGACTTCCTCTCCTGCCTCCTCCTCATCTTCCCTCTTCTCTTCCCGTTCCTCTACCGCCGTAGTCTCCATCAAATGCTGGAACCCCGCATCATTCGCCATGAGATTCGCAAACGTATCTACGGCCTGCACCCTCCCCTCCTCCAGCCAAATAATCCTATCACACCTATTCAGCACCCAAAGCTGATGCGTGGCCAACACCCGACACTTATCCTTCAGCAGCCCACAAATCGCATTATCAAAAATATGTCTCCCAACATGCGCATCCACCGCACTGAGCGGATCATCCATAATCACAATATCCGCATCAAAGTAAATCGCCCTCGCAATATTAATCCTCTGCTTCTGCCCCCCGGACACCGTAATCCCGCGCTCCCCAATCTCCGTCCCATCGCCGCTCGGCAACATCTCCAGATCCGGGCGCAGCGCACACACATCGATGACTTTGTCGTACCACCCCCGCGACATCTCTTTCCCGAAGACGATGTTCTCGCGCACGCTCGCGTTCTGGATCCACGCGTACTGCGGACAGAACGCCCGTGTGGCGCCAAACACCACGTCTCCGCTCGTCTTGCGCATATCTCCCGCCAGCGCGGCGAGGAGACTGCTCTTGCCGCTACCGACGCCGCCGATCACGGCGACGAGCTCGTTGCGGCCGAGTTTGATATCGAGGTCGTGCAGCTGGAAGGGTTCGGGGGGTGGGGCGGGGGCTGATGTGCTGGCGGAGTCGGGGGTTAGGTCACCGGAGCTGGCGTCGCTTGGGCTTGGGTTCGAGTCGCCGGCCATGGTCTTTTTGGATTTCTTCTCTTTCGTAGTGGGCTTGACGGGCTTGCCTTTGAGGTCCTCTGCTTCTGGCGTGACGGTACGCTCCCAGGTGAAACTAGCGTTGTTCATCTCAACTGCATTCTCGGCCTCCATCTCCCAGACTGCCTCTTCTGGCTGTTCCTCGCATAGTAGGAACTCCTGGATGCGCTTAAGGGAGCTCCATGCGTCGACGACCTGGCCGATAACGAGCGGCAGCATGTTCAGCGGCATACGTAGCGAATTGAACAGCGCGAGGGAGGAGAAGACCTTTGCTGGATCGAGGGAGTTGTTGGTGAGCGAATAGGTGATGAAGGCCAACATAGAGGCGAAGATGGGCATAGACATCGAGACAGCGTTGATCGCATTTCGAATAGCAAGGAGGATCTGAATGGCGTAGATCTCCCTGTCGCGAATACTGCGCAGCCGGTCCAGGAAGGCCATCTCCCAGCCAAAATACTTGACGAACCGCACAGCTTGCAGGATCTCCTGTGTCAGACCCACGCGCTGGTCGGTGATCTTGTTGATCACTCTACGGCGAGTGAACAGGCTCTTGACGGCCATAGTGAGGGCGGGAATGCCGAAAACAAGCAGGGCAAACCCGGCAAGCGCACTCTCGTGCAAGTTAATAACGAGGAGAACCAGGGTGAGGATGCAGACTATCGGGGCCGTCCAGATCAAATGGAACATGGCCGATGCCTGATCGACACGGTAGGTGTCCACAGCCATGAGATTAACAATCCGGCCACTCCCCCATCCCGTACCATCTCCCGACACCCCCGGCGCCTGCTCTTCCTTCCCCTTCTCCCCCGCTTTCTTGTCCTTGCCATCTCCCTTCCCAGTAGCAGGCTTGGCCGCCCCCTCAGAATCGTCATCCAGCGCACGTCCACCTGCCTTGGCACGGCCCGAGATCTTCATCGCTTTCTCAAAAATACACGATATCATCACCGCGCGCGACTGCCCTCCAATCATCATACCCCTGTATATAAAATGGCTCATTCCCAAGCTCTGACACACCTGCATAGCCGTGACGCCAATGACTAGCCCAACGCCCTTTCCAATATGCGGTGCCGGCGCGCCTGTCTTCTGTGCGATATATGCATCGGTGGCGAACTGGATAAGGAAGCGCAGCGTGAAGGGTGCAAAGACGGTGAATAGGTTGGCGAAGAACTGGCAGAAGCCGCCGATCCAGAACTCCCACTTAAAGGTCTCGTGCATGGCCCAGAGGAGGGGGTATTTGTCGCCGCGCTCAGCACGACGCTTGAAGGAGGCTTGCATGCGCTCGGTCATTGGTGTTGCTTTGCGCTTTGGGTTGACGAGCCAGATGTCGTTCTGGTCGAGTGGTCGTTTGTAGCCAGCCTAGAATCTAGAGTTAGTAATTATAGGTGCGCATGCGGATATAGAGCACTCACGGTCATGACTGGCGCCATCCATTGGAAGGTCAATAAGCTGAACCACCCCGCAGTCGCCTCCCTCGACACCCCTCTCTCCGTAGGGATGGCCGGGATGGACCCCCATTTCATGGGATTGGGCGTCTTGTACCATGGCTTCTTCGCAGCCACCGTTGGCACAGTAGTTGCTGCAGAGGCGCCGCTCGCAGAGGTAGCATATGGAGCCAGCGGCTCCCCCATCGGCTTAGCCTCAGCGGCACTCTTGGTCTTCTCGAAGCCTGGATCGCTCTCATGGCTGCCGGCCTTCTCAAAATCCATATCCCTTTCATCGCTCTCGGTTTTCTCGTCACTCTCGCGCGCGCGGCTGCCCTGCTCGTCGCCAACAGCGAGCGGTTCATCACGGTTCGTGCTGTTCACGGCAGCAGCTGGGTCAAGCGCTGCGTTGGTCGCTCGTGGCACCAAGGGGTCAGACATCCTGTGGCCGTGCTGTGGCTGTTGAATATGATTGGCACGGATCGCCTGTCAGACCATCGCTGATGCGCCACAACGTAAGACCTAGGTGCAAAGAGTTTCACTTTAGTCTATAGGGCGACGATAGCAGGTGGTAATGGAGGAAGAAGAGGCTATCTAACAAAAGCGCGATTGATAGCTAAGTGGGAACGGGATTTGGGGACAGGGACCTAGCCTTTTAGGATCTCGGGGGCGGCGATGTCATGGTTAAGTATATTCTGGATCACTAATAGGTGCTGTTCGTAACAGACGGACAAGCCTTCTTTTTTTCCCTGTAGGCATTCGTAGTACGCGCGTCGACTCATACTTCGTCTCTCTCCATCCATACTCTGAATGGCTTAATTAGCCATTCCGAAGGCAGCCGCGTGCTCCCCATTGCTCGCCATGCGAGACAGGGACAGGCCGGTCAGTCACAGTAGTGGCAGAAGTGGCAGAAGCGGTAGTGGCAGTAGTGGTGGCTCTCTTTCTGTTCTCCCCTCACTTTTGGGGCCAACATTTTCCCTCCCCAAGCGCGCTGAAGTACCGATCGACTAACTCCTGCCGCCTTTGGCTTGATCCTGCCTGCAAAATGGCGGGGGAGTTTAGTCAGTCGATACTTCCCACCTAAAAAAGAAAAAGATGGATGGTTGTGGACGTCGGCATGTCGGCATGTCGGCATGTCGGGGAGTCGGGGAGTCGGGGAGTGGGAATGCCGACAAAGCTTGGTTGGGAGTGTCGAATAGAGAGGGTTGTGATTGGCTGAAACGGACACGGCGCACGCGAACTCCTTCGGAATTCGAATGAGGCTAGGCTGGTTTGAGACTGGACTCAGCTGGAGTGGATGAAGCGGATGGGGCTTCTTAAATCCGGTGCGGTCCCTGGTGGGGCGGGCTTTGTCATCATGGAAATTCGCTGGACGGCCGGGTCTGGCCTCGACGACGACATCGCTTGTGGTTCTGTAGCTGTAAATTGATATTACAAGGTACGTATGATCGTTTCATCCTACGGTAAGCATGGTTAGTCCTCCGTATACGTCAGTGTTTGGGAAGGGATAGGATAAAAGAGGGAACTCCAACGATTCCGTGATTTCGGCCAAGAGGATGGAGATAACGCTTCGGTTCGGGGAGTTGACGGGGAATTGACGGTGAATTGACGAGGAATTGACGGGGATGAGAGGCTCGAATAGCGGGGATAGCGGTTCAAACCCGCCTCTTTGTAAGGTGGATCCCAGCCATGGAAGGTGAGGGACTGGACATATGGGACTGGACATGAGAGATTGGAGATGAGAGGTTGGAGATGAGAGATTGGAGGTGAGAGACTGGAGGTGAGAGACTGGAGATGGGAAACTGGAGGTGAGACGCAACGCGTTAGAGATGGTGACTGACAGGCTCTTTTAAATATCTAACAAACGAATCGAATCCAGGCCAATCAACCCAACAGCGCCTCAATAATCCTCGCCTGCACCCCCCCATCAACCCCAATACCCTCAAGATATTCCCTCGTCCCCCCATACTTCTCCCCCAGATACTCATTCATCTTCCCAATCCACTCCCTCGGCGCACTCGCAAACTCCTCCGTCAGCCCGATCTCCCTAATCTCCACCATCCTCTCCTCCTTCTCCGGGAGCAAGCCCGCTTCACTCAGCGTGTAGTCGTACGTCACGGCGTCGATGGGGACATCGAGCAGCAGCAGGAGCAGGCAGATGATCAGCCCTGTCCGGTCTTTGCCTTGGGTGCAGTGCACGAGGATGGGGTAGCGCGGGGAGGATGCGAATTCGCGGAAGGCCTGGGATGTTAGATGTGGTGTTGAATGGGAAAGGGGGACAAACTGTGGCTAGTTCGGCGCCGCAGTAGTCGATGGTATCGTATCCGAGTCCGATGAGGCCGCGGGGTTTCATGACTTCGCGGCCGAGAATGCTGATGGCTTCCATGCGGTAGCCGAAGAGCATGAGGATTAGAACCTTGCTGGTAAAATAAGAACGTTAGCTGCTGTAATAATTTGTGGGTGGTAAGAGACAAATTGTAAATCCGACCATTGAATGAACTACACCCAACTCAAGTTCCACAATGGCAAGTCACAAATAATGACCTACAAAATATTCCAAAAAGACAGTCTCCACAAGAGCGTCCGCTCGAAGCCCTTTCCATTGATATTGATATTGCAGTACCCCAACCCAGGAATCTCCATTGGTTTCGCCAATGCATCGTTAGATTTCACCAATACCAGTATTTTGAGGTCTCCCTCGCGCTTCTTGGCCTGCTTAACATGCTCTGACCTAGTTGAGTCAGAACTTCCTGATCCAAAGGAGAACCCAGCTGGCGGTTACTTTGTTCGCAGGTCCATGACCGTCTTGATTCCGATATCGTGTCGAAGCGCATCGCGGTCAGAAACGGATGCGTCGTCTGAGGGGTAACGTGTGAGCTTCCTGAATAGGGGCCAGGGAGGTGCGTATACCAAGCCTGGCGGATCGAAACAAGCGGCCCTCAGCTACTAGTCTGGAATAGAAATATAAGAAACATGTACATAGTAGTAGTGATGCACTGGATGTAGAACCTCTTGCCAGTATACTGGTTGGTCGTCTTTCCCACATCACGGAAATTCAGGATCCGGTCGAAGGAATAAGTCCCTGATGCATCTCCGGACATCTCGTTATCACAACGCTAGAAAAGCAAGACGGGTACAAATAAAAACTAAAGGCAAACTGCAAATTAACAAAATGATATATTGACGTTCAGAAACACCAAGGTCAAACTGCAGCTTATGACAATAAATATTAAATTTTAGCCTAAAAATGTAATATCACGTGATATATACTATTATAACATCTCGTTATCATAACGATAGAAAAGCAAGATAGGTACAGGAGGAATAGGAAAGTTATTAAATACCCATGGCAAATGGAGTTACTTGTTATCAGAGAAATGGCACGTTCCTGGGCAATTGCGGGAATTACGTCATGATGCATGATATCTGTTACAGCTAGGGTGCAAAATGTATATTTCGGCTGCATTACAGCTTGGCCTTCTCAATGGTTTGCATTGCCCCGTCAAATTCGCTCCAGTGCTGCATGACAATCTTTGCGCCATTTTCCTTGAGAAGAGCAGTCATCTTCTCCCGCTCATCCTCGTCGTAGCTTCCCACGTAGCCGATAACCGGGATCCCCGCGCGAACCGCGCTCAGCGTGCCGCTCTTGCTATCCTCAAAGGCCACGCACTCCTCCGGCTTCTTCCCTAGCTGTTGGGCAGCGAAGTTGTAGATTGCAGGGTCTGGCTTGGATGTCGGCGTAGGTAGGGAGGTTGCGGCGCTGTATACCCTATCTCCAAAGTAGTCCTGCATGTTGGTCTTGACGAGGCTAGCTTTCAGACGGCGACCTGCTGATGATGAGACAACGGCTAGCGTGTACTTCCCATCCATCTCCTTCAGGGCGTCGTGCACACCCTCACACGGCTCCAAGCTCACATTGAGCTTCGCGATGACGGCGTCTTCCTCGCTAGAGACGTAGCCCGCAAGCTCGTCGTCTGGGATGTGGAGGTTGTGCTTCTGGCAGAGGCTGAGCAGCATGCCGCGGAAGTTCTGGCCGACGAATTCAGTCATGAGGGACTCGCCGGTGTAATTGGGGTGGAGGTTGTGCTTCTGGAGGATTTGGTTTGCGAGATCAGCGCAGGCAGCGAAGGCGAGCTTCTCGGAGAGGACGAGGGTGTTGTCACAATCGAGGAGAAGGGTAGTGATCTGACATGCTGGGTTAGAATTGTATCTAGGAGAGACCTGGGTGCTTACTTTTGCCATGGTGAACGATTGTGATGAGATTAGAGGGAAGTGTATTCTGTGAGAGTATTCTGTGAGAGTGGCCGAGGAAGTAGGTAGGTGGGGGATAATGAGGAATGAGTGCCATTTATTGTATCTGGTACCTGCCCCAACCAGCAACCTTCATAATTCAGCCGCCCCAATCACCAACTCGAGGTAGCGTTTTGGTGTAATCTGTATATAAAGTTACTTAATGAAATATGGTCATAACTATAACTTATTTACTTCTAAATAGCATAGAATTAGTTATAATTATGGTATGTACGTAGCAATTATAATTATTAACAGTTATAACATAGTAGAGAGGAAATTCAGAATAAGTATCTTTACATAGAAATTATAGCGAAAAGCTACCTTCAGGTGGGGGGTTCGGCCCGAAGGCACCTATGTTTGTCGTGTTTGACAAGTCTTGTTGCCTGAGGTGTTAATCAACGCTAACGAGGTTACGGTTAGATCATGACCCCGATAAGCTGTGAATTTTTATCGCACTTGGCGCCCACCTCCAACCACTCCAGACAGTCGCCAACAACCCAGACAGCCAGCCAACTATCCTGGCAGTCGACAAACTTCTCCAACACCCATCCAAGTATCCAGGCAGTCGCTCGATAGCGACCCTTTACAATGCCTCAAAATGAATAGTAAGGACACCACAGTCTACCCCCAGAGGCAATGATTCTGACAACCAAAATAGTATGGACCGCTGGAGGAAACTCCACGGAAGAAGAGTATGACCCTCCCTCGACCTTCCCCACGATTACGCATGAACTAACGGACCACCCAAGCTCGATCACGAGGAGAAGACACGCAAGAGAGCAGCCAGAGAGGGCAAGAAGCAGTCGCAGGATGCGCAGAACTTGACTGGTCTTCGCGCGAAGTTATACCAGAAGAAGAGGCATCATGAGAAGATCCAGATGAAGAAGCAGATCAAGGCGCACGAGGAACGTAATGTCAAGTCTTCGGCACCAAATGAGCCTTCCAACACGCCTCTCCCACAATATCTTCTCGACAGATCGAATCCTACAAACGCGAAGGCTCTGAGCAGCTCGAGTACGTCGATCACATACTGGTTTTTTTTTGGAAGGGCTTGCTGACGATTACTAGTTAAAAACAAGCGGAAGGAGAAGGCGGCCAAGTTCAGCGTGCCGTTACCAAAGGTCAGGGGTATCGCCGAGGAGGAGATGTTCAAGGTTGTCAAGACCGGAAAGAAGACTAACAAGAAGGGTTCGTGAATCCCATATTTTTTGACAGGGAAACAGCTGCTAACGGGTTTTCAGGATGGAAGCGTATGATCACCAAGCCGACATTCGTCGGACCAGATTTCACCAGACGCCCGGTGAAATACGAGAGGTTCATCCGCCCTATGGGTCTGAGATACAAGAAGGCGAATGTTACTGTCAGTCACCAACTCCTACCAGTCATTTTCTGTACTAACAGCCAATTCAGCACCCGGAACTTGGTGTCACCGTTCAGCTACCTATCATCAGCGTCAAGAAGAACCCGCAAAACCCTATGTACACTCAGCTGGGTGTTTTGACGAAGGGTACGGTTATCGAGGTGAATGTTAGCGAGTTGGGATTGGTCACGACCGGTGGTAAGGTGGTGTGGGGAAGATATGCGCAGATCATGAACCACTGCGAGAATGATGGGTGTGTTAACGCGTAAGTCTACCCTTTGAAATATCCTTTTTCCTGGCGGGATGCTAACTTTATTTCAGTGTACTCCTGGTTTAGAAGCGGTGTCTATAATAGAACTGAATTTAAAATAAAAGCGGATAGCTTTGGAGGGGCGTTTAGTTTTCAAAAATTATGTGTTTAACATCGGAGCTAAATAGGCGTCTACGAACCACCTTTTTTTCATCAATCGCTGTGTTATTGATATTTTGTCGTTCTTTGATCTCGATATTTAGCCTGTCCCCCTTTTACTGCCACCACAACGCTGTCTCCCCTCATATCTTCCCGCCCAGAACAAGGAGCCAGTCGCATGCCATCGACGGGAACTTAGTTGCCTTGGATGTCGCGGCTGTGACAAGTGCGGGGGGGCGTTGCTAGTTGCATCTCGTCCTCTCACCGGTATCAATTCTGGCTTCCATTGGAGAATCTATAGGCAGCTCCCATCCCGCATGTGCAAAGCCGGGATCTGTTAGATCAGCCGCGCAGTAAATATTGTCTGCCAAATATCAATGCCATTGATTTCTTAACATGCGTTGTTTCTTATTCGTTTAACGACGTGCAAATATGCTGTCATCGTCTCTGCCCAAGGTCTGCTAGACACGGACATATAGTTTTGTTTAGCCTAACATTACCACTTCGCGGAGTTGCGCGCGGTGGAGTTTTAAGTGTTGGCGCCTCTTTCCATTTGTCATACTGAATTTTTAACAAGGCTCCAAGAGCCCTTAGCAATCTAAATATCATATACGCCTTATATCCCCATCCTCGCATGAGACTTACGTGCTAACGCAAAGCACACGCTATAGACCACTCGCCGCTCGAACGAACAAACACCAGTGGTAGACACGGATCGTACATGACCCATTCAGCCCTCAATCGAAATATCTGTTAATCTACCTCGATATCCAAAGCGTCGAGAATTGCTTGATACTCAGCCTCTAACTGTCAAGATGATATGCCTACAACTAGGCTGTGGATATTCATTACCGCCATAAGGATTAAAGCAATCATTAACAGGCAATCTTTAGAGGCATTATTCTTTAAGGCATTCAGCTATATCATATGCCCTTAAAAATGATAATGGACAGTCGTTAAGCGCATCTAGTATTACATCGTCATTTTTCAAGCCACGCCTATCAGCCTTACCAAAGCAACCAAGTAATCCAGCAAAGTATAGAGAGTTATTGCTCTAGTTTATTGTATCAAACAATCTATCAATACGCCTTGTTAAAAGCCATTCATTTCGTGAATTAGTATAATTTTTAAGCCTAACGACTATGACAATATCAGCATGTACGTTACACCAAGAACTATAGCGTCAATTCTCATATCACTAAGGCCAGCTACAAATTAAGCTCCATTCTCATATCAAGAGAGGAGGCTGGATATCTATAACAACAGATGCATGGTCTACACGGAGCTATACAGATTACACAGCTATCACAGCACATTAGATCAATGATAAATGGCAACAGAAATCTAGAGTGCTTGATGTCGTACATCTTAAAGAGCCTATCTATAGTAGTGAATATTTGGCTTAACAATTAGCAATTGTAACGGATGATATTGTCATACTGACATTCGTTGCACTCAGTTTGCTATCAAACTCAAGAGCAAACTTAGAAATCTCCTCCTCAAACCTACAAGTCAACATACATATCTTGGCTTATCACACCAACAACAGAAACAATACTACTCAACGATTGCTGCAAACTCTTCTACTACATCTGTTTATGCTACATACATCACGGCATATCATTTGAACACTCATTGAACAAGTTATTAAGAAAATCTCCTCCTTAAGGGGTGGGCCAATACTACCACATGGCATATCTCTACCAACTAGAGGCCTAGGAACATGAACGATAGCTCTAGAAGCTTCTACAACCCTCTATGATTCATTACACGTCATCGCTCCTTAGTTACCCACAAGATTGGTTAAGTTATGACATAATTTATCTATAGGTACTCTGACCTTGGACCTCCTTTTCACTTCCTATAGGCTAGGAACCCAAGAGATGGTTCTATGGGATTCTCTTACGTTCACTACATGATTAGCAAGCTGTTGTGGGTCGCACTTGATTTCTAATACATTTACCAAGCCTGGTTAGTCATGGAAAATCATGGAAAATGAGAGAACTACACTCCTTTGGCATAAATAGGATTGCCCTTTCCTTAAGAAAGGGCAAGCAGGCAATACAGTAAATCGACTAGCACATACTTCTACGTCTTTTCCAAGCTTCCAAGCATTGATCTTGTTATTCTCTGTTTTTGAAAAGTCAGTGAGGTGCTAACCTCTGACTTACCCCTGAGTTCTCAGACTCAACATTTGTTGCAACTTGTCTAAACCACTTCACCACATCATACACCTGATTGCTGCGTTGTGGAATAGTCTAAGCTACAACCCTTTGGCTCTGTTTCCTAAGACAGTGTGTTGTCTTAGTAAATTCATCCCTTCCTTGGGTGGCTAGATTCTCATATCTGGTGCACCCACCATTACAACGTCGTGATGCCATGATTGAATAAGCCAGCGAATTGCAAAGTGTATTGTCATTGTTTTGATTGGATCCAGGTTGTTGCTAAAAGATTTGAGCATGAACTCGAGCCATTGCCGATGATAATAGCTTTTTAAAGAGGCTATAATACCTTGATCAAGAGATTGATATCGACTGGTCGCATTTGGAGGAAGCCAGATAATTTGTATGTTTGGAGGATGAGGCGTCGATTCCACTGCAGCGATATGGGCTGAGAAGTTATCCATTGTAAGCAGTATAGAACGTGACGTACCAATATGAGTATAGAAAGCATTTAGCCAATCTGCCATAACAAATTGATTCATCCAAGCCTTCTTATTCCACCTCCAAACCCCACCCATTGCCCCTACATCAACGTGTTGTAAAGCTCGAGGCTTTTTAGCCTTTCCAATAAACTAAAGAGGAAGTCGATCTGTTCCAGCAGAATTAACACAAATGGCTGCTGATATGCTTGCTTTGTCCTTCTGTCCTGGAATTTATCGTGTTGTAAAGCCCCTTGAAGGGCTCATCCTCCAGTAAAGCCCAGTCTCATCCATGTTGTAAATATTGCCCTCTAAAAACTCCCCCGCAATAGTTTGTATAGCCTTCATTTGTTCTTCTGCAGTGATACCAATAGATCCAGCTTCGCCATGTAGAGTTCGATATAATATATTATGCCATTGTTGAAACTTTACGATCCATCCATAGCTAAATTCTGGCGTAGGTAGTCCATGGTATTGTGGTAGCTGATTCCAGATAATCTTCGCCTTTGATTGTAAGATTTCTGTAGTTGTAATGCCGCCACGCTCTTCAATAAGCCTCTGCCAGTCGTAAAGAGCAGCTTCTAATTCAGTGGCACATAGCTGTCCTCGCGGGGCCTTGCACCCGCCTTGACCTTGCCAAGTAGCGTTAAGCTGTTTGCCATACTTTCGTCCTCCATTCCCTTTCTTTGACTGTCTGCAGTTTCGCGCTATGTGTCCAGGCTTATTGCAGTTGAAACAGAGCCGTTCTTGGAACTGTCACTCCTTGTTGGGATTGTGGGGTTTGCCATTAGGCTTGAAAGTAGCGTCGAGTTCCATAGGTTGGGGCCAATCACTCTTTGTTTGTCTTCTCTTCTGAGTCCAGTGTTGACTAGGTGGTCCCCCTTTCTTCTCGAGTTGCCGTTCGTAGTGATGATTGTCAATCTTCTGAGCCAAGTCAATCATCTCTCTAAGGTCATCTGGTTTGTCAGACCTTGAGATTTCGTCCTTCACATGGTCTTTCAGACCTGCGTAGAATTGGTCACAGATAACCTCTTCTCCCCAGTTGGTGAGTGTTGCATGCTGTTGAAACTCAGCAGTGTATGCAACTGCTGACCCTCTCTGCTTGAGAGCCTGGAGTGCCCTGACTGCATTTCATCGTTCATAGATGTCTCTGAAGTTTGGCTTAAGCATTTTGAGGAATCCGTCCCAGGATACAAAAATTTCCTTTGTTCCTTGACTAGCTAAGGTGTTGCATTTTCCGTCGGGTGTTGGTATTCAGTAGATCAGACTCATATCGCCAAAGGCCCTATTGCACAGTTTGTCGACTGTAGGAGCCACTCGAGAGTAGCGCACTTCCCTCGCAGCTATATTCCTTGTCAAGGGAGCGTTATGAAAGGTCTGATCTATGAAGTCTGTGGTGTTCTGGTGTGTTCTGGTGTGTTCTGTGGTGTTCTGGAATCGACTTTAGGATAGGTTGTAGGGTTTCCAAAGAAGGGAATTCAAATTTCAGTATCAAGGTTCAGGCTCAGAGAGCAAAAGAAAGGAGAGATTCAATCTTATGTTACGGTGGTCACGGAGGTCAAGAAGCCAGTCCGGAGAATAATAAGCTAGATTGAATCTAAAGAGAGAAGAAGAAGAAGAAGAAGGAAGGAAGGTGCCTTGCCATGTGTAGATATATCACTAACCCCTTCCTTATATCCATTTCCTCCTTCGAGTCTAATAACCTCTTGAATATGGCATGGACTCCTCTCAATCCACGCCTGTATTCTCTGTTGTTCAAGCTCCTCCCATGCCTTTTTCCACACAATTTCTGCAGTCTTCTGAGTTGTAGGAGCCTTTACAAGTAGTAACCCGCTTCATAAATGGCCAACAAGGCTCAATCATATTAAGGTCAGGCGAATTACCTGGCCATAATAGCCGTTGAATATCAAACCTATCAAATACAGCCTTTTGCCCACTTTGACACATGAGATGGTGCTTTAACTTCTTGTACAATAGTATTTGGCCTTTCCTTCTTACACTCTTGTGCAAAAGGTAGATGTAAAGGCTCAAGGATGACTTTTCGGTATCGCCATGCATCAATTTCTCCTTTATCTTTCTCACGGGTCATTGCTCCTGTCTTTTTTGTAAACTTCCACTCTGGCTTCCTTCTGTTACGATTATAGCTTACAGCTTGTTATGGTTGTTATGGTTGTTACAGTTGTTACGGGTGCAGCCTTAGCCACCAAGGCTACAACCGCTAAGCGGACAACTGTATATTATGAGGAATAGCCTCGTAGGAACTATTAACTATTATAATTGATTCTCATTTTATGAAGCTACAGGTGCAAGTATCGTGAGTGCTCATTTTGACAGGGGTAGGCTATACCCCTGCCTGGCAAGGACTTTTAGTACATGCCTCCGTACCCTACTCTACTTTATGCCCTGCCTGACCTATCTATGTACCCTCTACCCTCTACCCTCTACCCTAGTTATCTACCCTCTACCCTACCCACCACCTCTACCTATCTACTCCATATCATGGCCGCCAGCTCCGATTGGTGACCGGGCGCGTCACATCCTTATCTCGGCTATACACTAGCGCTGTGCGGCCAACGGCGCTGGGTCTTAGTAAGGCCGCCGGCCCGGTTCCTGCCAACCGCCGAAACGATCTACTCAGTTTACTCTAGATCGGGTCGGCGGGTCTGCCGACAGGGTGACAGGGTGATAGGGGTCTGGTAGGGTATCGGGTGTGAAGGCTTGATTGGGGAATAGCCGATATACTGTATTAGGTAAGTTAGCTAAGTTGGGTTAGTTAGCTAAGTTAGGTAAGAGGTAAGTTGGGTAGTTAAGTTAGGTAAGTTAGGTAAGTTGGGTAAGTCGGGAAAGTTGGGCAAGTCAAGAAAGTTAGGAAAGTTAGGAAAGTAGGAAAGTACAGCAGTAGTAAAGAAGTACAACCATCCCACATCTACCCCATCCCATCCAGCGCAATGCCCTCCCCCCCTCCACACACCCTCATCATCGGCGCCGGCATCACGGGACTCGTCCTCGCCCAAGCCCTGCGCAAGCACCACGCCGCCTCCTCCCCAACCGCCCCCCTCCCCTTCACCATCTACGAGCGCGACCCCAACCCCACCCACCGCGGCGCCGGCTGGGGCCTCACCATCCACTGGGCGCTCCCGGACTTTGAAGCCCTCCTCCCTGCTGACCTCGTCGCTCGCCTCCCCGAAACATTCGTCGACACTGCCGCCGTCGCCGAGGGACTCACCGGGAATTTCCTCCTCTTCGATCTCCAACATGGCTCTGAGCGATTTCGCGTCCCCCCAAACACACGCATCCGCGTCTCCCGCGAGCGTCTCCGCCGCCTCCTCATGGACGGGCTAGACATCCAGGTGCCCCCCCCCACACACCCAAACCCATCTATCCCCTCCCGCACTAACCCCAGCAGTGGTCCAAAACCATCGCCTCCATCGACACCACCACCCCCGCCGCCGTAACCGCCTCCTTCACCGACGGCACCACCGCAACCGGCACCCACCTCATCGGCGCCGACGGCTCGCACTCGCGCGTGCGCACCTTCCTCTCCCCTTCCCCGCAAAACCACATCCTACCCGTCCGCCTCCTCGGCACCAGCGTCCCCTACTCCTCCACCCGATGCTTGCCCATCCGCGCCCTGGACCCATTCTTCTTCCAAGCCACCGACCCCGCCACAGACGCCTTCTTCTGGTTCTCCTTCCTCTCCGTCCCCACGGACCCCGCGGAGGACCGGGAGTGCCAGATCCTGGTGTCGTGGCCGTTTCGGAAGGGGTTTTTGGGGCGCGAGGAGCCGGTTGAGACGCCGGCGGTGGGGGAGAGAGTGGCGTGGATGAAGGAGGTTACGAAGGGGTGGGTGGAGCCGTTTAGGGGGATTGTCGCCGATATTCCGGGGGGGGCGGAGGTGAAGAGTTTGGCGCTGGAGGATTGGTTGCCGCCTGCCGAGGGGTTCGATAGTAGAGATGGGAGGGTTACGTTGATTGGTGATGCGGCGCATGCGATGACTATGTGTATGTTCCCCTTTTTAAAAGTTGTACGATATGTTGCTAACTACCTACCCCTTTAGACCGCGGCGAGGCTGCCAACCACGGCATCGCGGATGTTGCGTCTTTGGTTAAAGAGCTCTTCGCTGAGTCTGACGCTGATCCCCCAAGCCCGATTGATAGGTATGCGGCGGAGATGATTCCGCGTGCAAGAGTTGCGGTGCTGAATTCGAGGAGGGCGTGTCTGGATGCGCATGATCATGAGAAGATATGCGAGACGAGCCCGCTGGTGGCGAGGAGGGTGGTTGTGCTGGAGTGATGTGGGCTGTTGGGGGAAGCTCGTGTTGTGAGAAGTGATGAAATGTAGCCTCTTGCATATGATGAACGATGCATAGATTCATCTCGATATAACGAATTTATAAAAATATTATTTGCGGATAATTCCGTATGGGAATAGAGATTATTTGTGATAAACACCCGATATAATTTAGCAAATATATTGACTCCCCACCTAACGATTATATTATTTCGATGCACTGTGATGGAAATTATATAAAAATATCTTGCTCCTTAATGAAAAAAAAACCCCCCCCAAACAGGGTTAGCACAGGTCACCTAATCGAGTGGGTTAGAATAATACGAAGACGCGACAACTACGTAACGTACTCCACAAGTGAGTCGGTAATTAACAGAGGAGGCAGGGGATTAAACACAAAGGTTTTTCAAGTAACACCTTATAGTATTGTAAAGAATACTATATTAATGTTAAGGAGGAGGTTGCTCAGACTGATTGGTTGGGCGTGTGGCTCGCCAACCGAATCAGGTTGCGGACCACCCACAAATAGTTCTGTAGAAGAAGTCAAACGGAATTAAGCAGCAGTTTCATGATGTCTTTATTTAATATAGAGACCGCTAATACTATCTTGATGAGGAGAAAAGGGAAGCTGAGGCTGATTTACTACAGGTGCCTATAGAACCTGACTCTAACAATGATTTATACATCTCTTATGGCATTTACTAAGAACCAGAATGGAAGCGCTAGCTTGTTGAACCCTAGCTAGGTCTAACAACAGATATCCTTAAATATTAGGCGGCAAAGCAATATCAATATCTAATTGTAGCTACAATTGCTTAGGACCATTTAGCAATTCTAGCAACATCTGCTCCATGTAATGGTGGGTGCACCAGATATGAGAATCTAGCCACCCAAGGAAGGGATGAATTTACTAAGACAACACACTGTCTTAGGAAACAGAGCCAAAGGGTTGTAGCTTAGACTATTCCACAACGCAGCAATCAGGTGTATGATGTGGTGAAGTGGTTTAGACAAGTTGCAACAAATGTTGAGTCTGAGAACTCAGGGGTAAGTCAGAGGTTAGCACCTCACTGACTTTTCAAAAACAGAGAATAACAAGATCAATGCTTGGAAGCTTGGAAAAGACGTAGAAGTATGTGCTAGTCGATTTACTGTATTGCCTGCTTGCCCTTTCTTAAGGAAAGGGCAATCCTATTTATGCCAAAGGAGTGTAGTTCTCTTATTTTCCATGACTTTCCATGACTAACCAGGCTTGGTAAATGTATTAGAAATCAAGTGCGACCCACAACTAGCTTGCTAATCATGTAGTGAACGTAAGAGAATCCCATAGAACCATCTCTTGGGTTCCTAGCCTATAGGAAGTGAAAAGGAGGTCCAAGGTCAGAGTACCTATAGACAAATTATGTCATAACTTAACCAATCTTGTGGGTAACTAAGGAGCGATGACGTGTAATGAATCATAGAGGGTTGTAGAAGCTTCTAGAGCTATCGTTCATGTTCCTAGGCCTCTAGTTGGTAGAGATATGCCATGTGGTAGTATTGGCCCACCCCCTTAAGGAGGAGATTTTCTTAATAACTTGTTCAATGAGTGTCCAAATGATATGCCGTGATGTATGTAGCATAAACAGATGTAGTAGAAGAGTTTGCAGCAATCGTTGAGTAGTATTGTTTCTGTTGTTGGTGTGATAAGCCAAGATATGTATGGTGACTTGTAGGTTTGAGGAGGAGATTTCTAAGTTTGCTCTTGAGTTTGATAGCAAACTGAGTGCAACGAATGTCAGTATGACACTCCATTAGAACAAGTCTTTAGTAATGGAGCTGAATTCTTACAAAGAAAAGGAATAGGCTCTCTCCTAAAACACTTTAGTATTTGCTATGTTTAAGAGATTAGGGTCATATACTAGATGTTGAAGATAGCGATGCTAAAGATGCTAATGGTGAGGGGGAGGACTAGGCATTGTAGCTATAAGCTATACATTTATTTTATATGAGGCTACTTATAGATTTTAAGCCTTAATATCCTAAAGATCCAACCTATATCTATCCGTCAAATGTTAACTAGATCATGATCCTATCTATGACAACTACGGATCAGATCTAGATATGATCCGCCTAACACTAACAAACACACTTTCGGCCTTTAATAAAGTGTATAATGTAACGCTGACTTCTAAACGATAGAAGACACAGAGGTTTCTTGCGTAAGGTTGACTTGACAGAGGAGGCAGGGGATTAGACACAAAGGCTTTCCAAGTAACACGTTACAGTATTGTAAAGAATACTATATTGAGTTGAGCACGAAGCTCCTATCTAAGGAAATACTATCTACTTATATAGTGGCGTCGTGCCTCATGGGTAATCTGGATAGTTGGCGGATAGCTAGATATTCAGGATAGTTCGTGGATAGCTCAACTATCCAATATCCACTAGTTTCTGCAACTATCCATTAGCCCCGTCACATGGCAGCCTACCCCGCTTCCCCCTGTGACTCACACGTCACGTTACTAGGCCCTGGCCCTGTAACCATGACATCATGTTACCGTAGCCGTAACCTTGCAGTTCAGTAATCTTTTCATCCTTGTCTTGAATTTCTTCTTGGGCTGTAGAATAGCATCATTTTTCTCTGAAATAGTAGCATCAGAAGTGTCATACTGACATTCGTTGCACTCAGTTTGCTATCAAACTCAAGAGCAAACTTGGAAATCTCCTCCTCAAACCTACAAGTCACTATACATATTTTGGCTTATCACACCAACAACAAGAGCAATACTACTCAACGATTGCTACAACCATCTATGATTCATTACACGTCATCGCTCCTTAGTTACTGGGCCGATATGACCACATAGCATATCTCTACAACCCTCTATGATTCATTACATGACATCACTCCTTAGTTACTGGGCTAATACTACACATGACATATCTCTATCAACTAAAGGCCTAGGAACATGAACGATAGCTCCAAAAGCTTCTACAACCCTCTATGATTCATTACATGTCATCGCTCCTTAGTTACCCACAAGATTGGTTAAGTTATGACATAATTTGTCTATAGGGGTACTCTGACCTTGGACCTCCTTTCACTTCCTATAGGCTAGGAACCTAGGAGATGGTTCTATGGGATTCTCTTACGTCGACTACAGTTACCAAGCCTGGTTAGTCATGGAAAGCCTTGGAAAATGAGAGAACTACACTCCTTTAGCATAAATAGGATTGCCCTTTCCTTAAGAAAGGGCAAGCAGACAATACAGTAAATCGACTATCACATACTTCCACGTCTTTTCCAAGCTTCCAAGCATTGATCTTGTTACTCCTTGTTTCTGAAAAGTCAGTGAGGTGTTAACCTCTGACTTACCCCTGAGTTCCCAGACTCAACATTTGTTGCAACTTGTCTGAACCACTTCACTACATCACACACCTGATTGCTGCGTTGTGGAATAGTCTAAGCTACGACCCTTTGGCTCTTTTTCCTAAGACAGTGTGTTGTCTTAGTAAATTCATCCCTTCCTTGGGTGGCTAGATTCTCACATCTGGTGCACCCACCATTACAAGAAGCTTGACCGATGATGATGACATTCCAATTCCTCATCTGGTGGCCGTTTGATAGTATAGACTGGTGTCTTTCTTGAGCTGTTTTGCCCATCCTCTTGAAATCTTCTTGGGCTTCGAGGAAGTCATCTTGAAGTTCATCTCTCTTCTCAGACTCATCTGCCAAGGTTGTTTTCTCATTTATAGACTCATAGTTTTCTGGGTTTCGGTCAGCCATCTTGGCTTTTTCTTTGGCTGTGTGTGCCATAGCAGCTTTGCTATTCTTTCAGTTTTCGTATTCAGTAGATCAGACTCGTATTGCCAAAGGCCCTATTGCGCAGTTTGTCGACTGTAGGAGCCACTCGAGAGAAGCGCACTTCCCTCGCAGCTATATTCCTTGTCGAGGGAGCATTGTGAAAGGTCTGATCTATGAAGTCTGTGGTGTTCTGGTGTTTCTGGTATGTTCTGTGGTGTTCTGGAATCGACTTTAGGATATGGTTGTAGGGTTTCCAAAGAAGGGAATTCAAATTTCAGTATCAAGGTTCAGGCTCAGAGAGCAAAAGAAAGGAGAGATTCAATCTTATGTTACGATGGTCACAGAGGTCAAGAAGCCAGTCCAGAGAATAATAAGCTAGATTGAATCTAAGGAGAGAAGAAGAAGAAGAAGGAAGGAAGGTGAGGCTATTCCTCGTAATATACAGTTGTCTGCTTAGTGGTTGTAGCCTTGGTGGCTAAGGCTGCACCCGTAACAACCGTAACAACCATAACAACTGTAACAAGCTGTAAGCTATAATCGTAACACACCCCCTTAAGGAGGAGATTGTAATGTTGGGTGCACCAGATATGAGAATCTAGCCACCCAAGGAAGGGATGAATTTACTAAGACAACACACTGTCTTAGGAAACAGAGCCAAAGGGTTGTAGCTTAGACTATTCCACAACGCAGCAATCAGGTGTATGATGTGGTGAAGTGGTTTAGACAAGTTGCAACAAATGTTGAGTCTGAGAACTCAGGGGTAAGTCAGAGGTTAGCACCTCACTGACTTTTCAAAAACAGAGAATAACAAGATCAATGCTTGGAAGCTTGGAAAAGACGTAGAAGTATGTGCTAGTCGATTTACTGTATTGCCTGCTTGCCCTTTCTTAAGGAAAGGGCAATCCTATTTATGCCAAAGGAGTGTAGTTCTCTTATTTTCCATGACTTTCCATGACTAACCAGGCTTGGTAAATGTATTAGAAATCAAGTGCGACCCACAACTAGCTTGCTAATCATGTAGTGAACGTAAGAGAATCCCATAGAACCATCTCTTGGGTTCCTAGCCTATAGGAAGTGAAAAGGAGGTCCAAGGTCAGAGTACCTATAGACAAATTATGTCATAACTTAACCAATCTTGTGGGTAACTAAGGAGCGATGACGTGTAATGAATCATAGAGGGTTGTAGAAGCTTCTAGAGCTATCGTTCATGTTCCTAGGCCTCTAGTTGGTAGAGATATGCCATGTGGTAGTATTGGCCCACCCCCTTAAGGAGGAGATTTTCTTAATAACTTGTTCAATGAGTGTCCAAATGATATGCCGTGGTGTATGTAGCATAAACAGATGTAGTAGAAGAGTTTGCAGCAATCGTTGAGTAGTATTGCTTCTGTTGTTGGTGTGATAAGCCAAGATATGTATGGTGACTTGTAGGTTTGAGGAGGAGGCGCTTCTGCGGCGACAAGAACATGGTACTCCTCGTCGAGGAACCAGGGCAGCTATCCAAACAGTTAGCAAAAGCCAACAGAGACACAACACCACAAGGGAACTCACCGGAACGCAGGTGGAGTGCTGAGTCATGCAGTACTCGCACTTGGAGGAGGCCGGGGACCAGACACAAGCGTGATCCTTGACACCATGAGCTTTGGCCCAAAGGAAGCACAGGCAGAGGACACGGAACGAGCCCGACAAAGCTCCGGCGGGAGTCAGAATCGGCATCGTTAAGTTGGAATTCTGTGAATCCTGTCAGCCCAGCACACGTTATCACCCACGCGCCAATGCGCTCCCATCACGTACTCGTTCTCGTGGATTGGAAATATTCTATCCAATTGATTAGCACACTGCCACACAATCCACAAGAAGGGGTCACTTACCGTTCTCGGATGGGTAGTCGCTGGCGTTGTTGTTGGAGACAACAAGAAGAAGTGGGCGTGGCTAAGTACTCATACTCTGGCTTACAATAATGAACTCTGAATCGGGTTAGCGCAGCCACTTCTCCTTTCATACCTAGGACAGTTCAACCCGGATGCTTCGCAGTTGCGATTCGGAGTCCACTCGGACCACCAGGAATGTACTCCAGAGCGAATAAAGCAAAGTTCAACCTGAACGTTTCGCGGATGTGATTTGGAGTCCACTCGGACCACCAGGAATGTACCCCAGAGCGAACAAAGCAAACCCTGGTTTCGCACCCTAAACACAATTCTAGCATGACATACAACGCACCTTCCCGACATGGCACATAAAACAGGGTTGTTACAGTTGCAATTACAAACAGATTTCCCACCAACATAGAACGCTATTCTCATGGATACCATTCAGAGATGTTGTGGAAATGATTCTCACAGCGTGTTTCGCGGACAAAACACTCTCTTAAGAGGGGGGGTAGTGTAAGGATGCCTCCGCCATCAGTGACGGAAGAGATCAGAGTCGGACAGGTTACGGTCATGTGGGGAGAGTTAGGGCCGGTTAGCCGAGTCAGACCCGTTTCGGGTACTTAAGGAGATTGACCCAACGGGGGTTCCTCTCTTCATCTTTTTTGTATCCTTCATAGTAGACCTATAGGATAGCATCCATTTAGCCTCTGACTCACACTCTCATATGCTATTACCATGAGCTGGGTGCCCTGTGTCCTTACACTAGTGGATAGTTGTATAAACTAGTGGATATTAGATAGTTGAGCTATCCATCAACTATTTAGATTATCTATCTATCCATCAACTATCCATATTATCCATAAGACATGATGCTACTATATAAGTAGATAGTATTCCCTTAGATAGGAGCTTTGTGCTCAACTTAATATAGTATTCTTTACAATACTGTAACGTGTTACTTAGAAAGCCTTTGTGTTTAATCCCCTGCCTCCTCTGTCAAGTCAACCTTATGTAAGAAACCTCTGTGTCTTCTATCAATTAGAAGTTAGCATTACACATTGCTTCCTATGTGACCTCGTCTTCTTCTTCCTTAGTTTCCTATGCTATGTTTCCATCGTCCTATAGTGTAGATGCTCTACTACCCTCTCTAATCCTAAGGTTTTGCTTAACGATACTTGTATGGATTCCATCTCTACACTTTTTTCTAGTTACTATAAAGATTAATGTCCTCCACAAGCGAGTGTCACATACAAGTGAGTGTCGCACATGAAGAACACAATGCGCTCCTTATGTGTACTGCAAGATGCCTCAACAAGTTGATATTCCATCAACTAATCTTGAAGGTAGAATATATATTGCTATCGAAGCTATTAGATTACGCCAATTTAATAGCATTAGGGCAGCTGCAAAGGCCTCAAATGTCTGTCCTAAGCTACTTGAGAGGCGCCTAAAGGGAATATGCCCACGACGCGACATTACACCAAAAACTCAAAAACTCACTTGCTTGGAAGAATCAGTTGTTATTCAACATATCCTCGACCTAGATTCACGGGGGTTTTCACCTAGGCTTCGTGCTGTTGAAGATATGGCCAATCAATTACTCGCATCTCGAGGTGTGGGCAAGGTTGGAGTTAATGGGCTTCTAACTTTGTTAAACGCCATGTTGAGCTTAAAACAAAGTTTAATCGCAAATACGACTATAAGCTCTATGTGAAGATGCAGAGCTCATAAAAGCATAATTTACACTTGTACAAAACACTACTGCAAAGTATGGAATTACCGATGCAGACATCTACAACTTTGATGAGATGGGTTTTCAAATGGGCATTATTACAACAGCAATGGTTGTTACAAACTCTGAACGGCAGAATTGACCTAAAGCAATTCAACCTGGAAACAGAGAGTGGGCAACAGTAATTCAAGGGATTAACGCGCAAGGATGGTCAATCCCACTGTTCATTATTATGAGTGGGAAGAACCTCTCTCAACATGGTATGATGAAGATATACCACAAGATTGGATTCTCGCAGTAAGTGAGAATGGATGGACAACAAATGAACTTGGATTTCAATGGATCCAACATTTTTCATAAGCATACAAAGCATCGTACAGTTGGTGCACATCGCCTGTTAATTCTAGATGGCCATGAGAGTCACTATTCTCTACCGATTGAGCAATACTGTAAGGAGAATGGTATAATATTGCTTTATATGCCTCCGCACTCATCTCATCTACTTCAACCGCTTGATGTTAGTTGCTTTGGACCACTTAAGAAGGCATATGGACAGCAAGTTGAGAGCTTAATCTGCACTGATATAAACCATGTTATGAAAGTTGAGTTTCTTCCTGCCTTTAAGCAGGCTTTCACAGACGCAATCACAAAGCAAAACATCTGCAGTAGTTTTCGAGCTACAGGGCTAGTTCCATTCTGTCCTGATGTTGTGTTGTCACAGCTTGACATTCAACTACGGCCTTTAACACCACCAACCTTTGAGGATGCTTCATGGGAACCTAAAACACCACACAATCTAATAGAGCTAGCAAGTCAAACTACGCATCTTAAAGATCGCATTATATGCCATCAAAATAGCTTACCAACTCCTATTAATAATGCGCTAGACCAGTTGTTAAGAGGTGCTCAAACAATGGTGCATTCTGCTGTTCTAATGAAGGCAGAAGTTCAGGCCTTACAACAAGCAAATGAAGTTGCAAGTCAGCGCAAAAAGTGAAAAAAAAAGCGTATACAACAAGGAGGGTGCCTTACAATTCAAGAAGGGCAGGATGTACTTGCTCACCTAGCTGTGGAAGAGCAGATATCTCAAGAACTACGACAGGGTGGCGGGTTTGAAAGGAGCAATGACGTTGCAGAATGTGTGGTAAGACTGGGCATAATGCTCGCACATGTCAAAGGGATTACGAAGATACTATAGAATAGGTGTATAATTAATTTAATTGATTTTCTAGTCTATAGTTGTTGTTGTTAGAAAGTTTGTTACGATCTGTCAATTGCGTGCGACACTCACTTGTATGCGACACTCGCTTGTGGAGGACGTTACTATAAAGAATTTTGAGATTCTTACTGTTTGATTCTAACTTCATCCCTCTTTGTTAACTCGTTCTTGTTTAGTAGGGTTAAGGTCCTTGAATTGCTAGGTACTATAGAGCTTCTTAACAGCACAGGCAGTCATAGTGTATCAGCCCTCTTTGCATTGTTGATCTTGCACTTAGAATTACTTTTTCTATGTGTTTCGTATGCTTATTAGTTGACTTCTTAGCGTCAGCCTTCCTTTTTCTAGCCATTGTATTTCGCTTACTAGCTTTATAGTAATTATTATAGTAATTAGCTTACTTCTAGGCTTTAGATGATAATGGTGCCTTAGTGGCTTCTTAGTAGCAACTCCCTTCTTTAGAACTGTCTCTCTTAGTGCCTTACTAGGCATCTTCTAGGCATAGGCAGGCATCTTTAGTTCCTTCCTTCTAAACTTCTAGCCTTTGTAAAATGTAGGTTGTGCGACTTGATTCTTCTTAAGCTAAGAGTCTGGTTTTAGAGTTGTTAGAGATGTTGTTTATTGCAACTTAGAGTTTTTAGATGAGGTTCTAGTTAGTTGTAACAGTGGCATAGGTGTCATACTGACATTCGTTGCACTCAGTTTGCTATCAAACTCAAGAGCAAACTTAGAAATCTCCTCCTCAAACCTACAAGTCACCATACATATCTTGGCTTATCACACCAACAACAGAAACAATACTACTCAACGATTGCTGCAAACTCTTCTACTACATCTGTTTATGCTACATACATCACAGCATATCATTTGGACACTCATTGAACAAGTTATTAAGAAAATCTCCTCCTTAAGGGGGTGAGCCAATACTACCACATGGCATATCTCTACCAACTAGAGGCCTAGGAACATGAACGATAGCTCTAGAAGCTTCTACAACCCTCTATGATTCATTACACGTCATCGCTCCTTAGTTACCCACAAGATTGGTTAAGTTATGACATAATTTGTCTATAGGTACTCTGACCTTGGACCTCCTTTTCACTTCCTATAGGCTAGGAACCCAAGAGATGGTTCTATGGGATTCTCTTACGTTCACTACATGATTAGCAAGCTAGTTGTGGGTCGCACTTGATTTCTAATACATTTACCAAGCCTGGTTAGTCATGGAAAGTCATGGAAAATAAGAGAACTACACTCCTTTGGCATAAATAGGATTGCCCTTTCCTTAAGAAAGGGCAAGCAGGCAATACAGTAAATCGACTAGCACATACTTCTACGTCTTTTCCAAGCTTCCAAGCATTGATCTTGTTATTCTCTGTTTTTGAAAAGTCAGTGAGGTGCTAACCTCTGACTTACCCCTGAGTTCTCAGACTCAACATTTGTTGCAACTTGTCTAAACCACTTCACCACATCATACACCTGATTGCTGCGTTGTGGAATAGTCTAAGCTACAACCCTTTGGCTCTGTTTCCTAAGACAGTGTGTTGTCTTAGTAAATTCATCCCTTCCTTGGGTGGCTAGATTCTCATATCTGGTGCACCCACCATTACACCTTGCCTGCTTCAAGCTTCAACTATTTCTATAGCAGCACTTCGATACTACAATGGAGGATGACCAAGCTCCTACAACTACTGCTGAACAGCAGATGCAACAACTGTTTGCCTTTATACAAACTATAGCAAACAAACTTGAGAATTTGGAAAACACCTTTCAAGCCAACACTTCAGCAACACAATCTTCAACTCAGACACATCATACAGAGCTTCCCACAGCTCCTCTGGCTATTTCGAGTACCCCAGGTGCACTTCCTAAAGTGCAAACACCAGATTTATACCAT